TTAAAACTAAACCCAAGCGTACCACTGCAAGACCTCAGGACATAGTCAGTTCATTTTGCATAGATCGGACCATAAACAATAATTAAAAAAGCTGAAGGTACTCCGGGTTTAACAATGACATCGGGACGTCAGTCATCTCAGTCCCCCGTGACCATGGGTGCTGGAAAGTGCCCGAAACGTCGGGAATTAAAAATAAAAGTAATTAAAAACGAAAATAAACGCGATAAAATCCGTAAAAGTAGTTTTAATCATGTGTAGTGTTTGCGTAAATATAAGAAATCATTAACTGAAATAATGTTAAATATAAAAATTAAGTCTAAGTGAAAAAAAGAGATTTGTTTGATTTTAAACTCGAATATAAACAAATTATTTATAAAGTTAAATGTTACTGCACAAAGACAGACTTAATGCTTTATATTATTTAATAATTAAGGCCTGACAGACTAACAGTCTCATTTCTTGGTAATTGATAAAAATGGTCAATCTCGTAAATAAGCTAGTATGTTTGTCAGATATCGCTTATGCAGATGTGAAAAAATAAAACAAGTTCTTAAGTTGACATGCAATCAGTTTAAAAACATGTTTAACTATCAGATATGAGTACCACACTTAATAAAGAGAAAAATGTTAAACACTTACCTCACGTGCAATGCAATTTGATTGGCAACCTCATTCTTTATGAGTTCCTCACGTGGAGAATCGAAGCCTAACAATATGTGTGATCTTATTCACATAAGTGATTTGCCACAGCTGATGCATACATGTTCATGACAAACTATTGGTGCATTTTTCGAGTGGCACACTACACGTACACTGTCAATCGAAACTTGTACCTAATAAAGAAGCTACAATTATTATATTGATATTATTTAAGTAAACTTAGTTAAAAAGCATTTCTCGGAAGAAGACATGACACTTCGTGACATGTACCAACTATTTACCTGCTGTGTTCGAAACAATCGTTGAGAGATAACAATTCAATTTCCAACAAAACAAAAACTCGTAAACACTCGTAAACGAATTCGGGTATGTTCCGAAATACAACGCAGTGTACTGTCTAATACAAATGACGTATCATTTGACACTTTATTGTACTAGCGTGCCGCCGCCATATTGTGTCGGATATCCGGCCATAATAAAACAATTTTTAATTGTGTGTTTGCCGAATGAAGCATGCCAGAATTTGTTTCTAATTATTCAAATACAAAAAATTATTGAATAATTGATGGTATATCCATTAGGAGGATATAATGATTTTAGACCACAAAATGACAAAATAATCGCCAACACTTTTCCAAATGGCGCAAAAGTATGACGTCATACACTGTCCAATGTTTTGGAACGAATCACCAGTATAGCGTCGATTCATGACGTCATTTGCATTGGACAGTACACTGCGTTATATTTCGGAACATACCCTTCGTATTGTGACTTGACAGGGGCCTAGCTGTCAGATTCGATGTTGCCACTTAACTGTCATAAAATCTATGAAACGATATCGATTTTCACTTGATTAATAATATCATAAAAAAGAATAGTCTTTGACGCGCTTTGAGTTCTGTACGCTTTTTAAAATATATTTTCCTTTATTTATTGAAATTCTATTTCAAATGTATTTTAAGAACAGTTAACTTGTGCTGTATTGTTTTGTTATGCTCTAGAGAATTCATGGTAAATCAGCTAGAAATTCTTTATTTATCATAACACGATTCCATTTTAAATGTAATGTTAAGAACAGATAAGAATAACAGTTAAATTGTGCAGTAGTGTTTTGTTATACTCTAAAGAATTCATGGTAAATCATTTAATTATTCGCTTGTTTAATTATCATAACTATATATGTGAAGTTTGTCAACGATTTCAACCGAGCCGATAACAACGGTTGTTTTTGTTTTCAACGGTCGACAACCGATTTTGATGGCTTGAAATGGATAAAAACAATAAGTTTTTTCTCTTTGGTAACGAATAAACCACAGAAACCCCTATAATGGATAATAGTTCTTTTTTTTTAGATACAAGTAGCACATTTTCAAGAACCGCAAACACAACTTTGTCATTTATCCCACAAACACAAAATTATTTGTTGCTGGCGATAATGATAGTGATATTTTGACTCGATGTAAAATCTATGCTTGTTACTACAGAAATCTTCATGGCCCCGCGAGTCCGACTCGCACTGTGCCACTTTTTTTTCAACTTTTTGCTTTTATTTTAATAAATAGTTTTTTCGTTAAAGCGGAGCTCTTTTGCTTTAGATTCATTACTTATATCTATAACAATCAATCTGAGTAGGTAAAGTGTGTAAATACGATACTTAAATTGTAAAAATAATAATTGGAGTTATTGGAGGTAGGTATTTAGTTTCATTTATTTAGAAAATATTAATCTCACAATTAATTATTATAATTATATAATTTTATCACACAACTAACGCCCTCATTAGCAATGTAATGGTATAATAATAATTTTCAAAATCGGTCAAGTAATTTTCGAGATTAACCAAAAAAACATATACATTGAAAGTAGCGCCCTCTATAATAAAATGCATCCTATATTAGACATCTATAATAATAAAATGCATCCTACGTAGCACTATAGCAAAAACGATTCAGCTTAGCCACCCGCACACACAGTAAAAACATAACCATCCTTTTTCGTCTGTAGTCGGATAAACAAGTGGTTGACAACGGTTGCGTATCGGCTGCATTGGATAAATATCCATTTTAAACGGTTGCTTTACACCTATATCATAACATAATAATAATTATCGAAAAATTATTTTAGCATTGTAATAATGATACCGTAAGTAATCGATCGGAAAAGGGAAATCGATTTTTTAATGATTTTTGTGATTGGCAACATTTTTTATTTTATTCACAAACTAATGAATTACGTATTTACCTAATTTTATTTTTATCTTTTCGGTACTTTTAATTTGTGTAAAAATATTCCCATATTTTTAGGATAAATGAATACCGCGATTAATAACCATAAATAAAGATATATATTTTTAACAAATGCATTGTTGGGCGTTCTATGGCCGAAAATGGGCATCTCCCTTTCTTGATAAATACTGCTCTGTGCGAACGCAAGTAGTGTCAAATTGGATAGCCCTTATAATTAAAAAAAAAACAGTAAACAAAACTCCGTGACACGTACTAATAATTGCTGTACCGGTACTTATTGGTTGTTTTATAAAAACATAATTATTAATTTGTTATGTATCTTTTATGAATACCTACCTAGGTACTCTTTTTTGTTGTAAGCACATTATTTTGTTAAAGGTTTTAATTTTATTGATTTATTTTGGTGTTAAGTTTCGCAAACACAAAACCTGCAAGCTGTAGTCTAAGATTAATTTCTGATTATTGAGTTTTAATTTCATGAAAATAAATATACATTTTTTTAATTTAAGATTTTATTTGAACCTATTTTCCAGTGAACATTAACCTTTACATTTTCCAGTGCGTTATTGTGTTATCGTGTGTTATATCTTCCAGTGCGTTATATTACATATTTTGGCGACCTTACCCATGTACTATCTTCTATAACCATAGAAATAACTGTACTCGGCCGAGATGATGTTTCGCCTGTAGAAATATAGTTTCCATACTGTTAAAAAGGATACCTTGAAAATAAATCGTAGTTTTGGGGGCGTGGCTTATTCCTTTGTCGGTGAAGCTAACGGACGACTGAGGGAGTGTCAAAATGAAAGTGATGCAATGACTTCATAATACGTAAATTATGAGATAGCTATACAGAGCACACGCTGGGAAAAAAACTAAGTAAGCGCCAAACAACATTTTTTTTAACAAAACTACGTTATGGATTAAAAAAAATGGTTTATAAGAACTTAGATATGATTATTTACTATGCCTTAAAAATAATTCCATGAACTAATTCGTAAAATATTTGTGGTGTCATGAAGAAACGTAATTAATTCGAGTCTACTTTGCAATTTTTTTCTATCGAGAAAATTACATGATATCGTGTAATCCAAGGTCATATAGTCAAAAATCATATACAAAAATTTTGGTTTGTAATCTATAATACTTAAAAAATATGTGAAATAGAAAAACCACCAAATTTTCGAAGTATCATCACCTTCAGAATCATAACTAATATTCGAGTCCGTATAAATATAAATAAAAGTCCTATAATTTCGTATTTCGCGTCAGTTTTTCGATGCTGTGGTATTTTTTAAAGTCATCTATCAATGAGAGCAAAAAAAATTTGTCGCTATCGTTTTCTAGCCATGATTCTTCGTTATTTATTCTTTTAGTTAAAATCCTTATTGCTTTATTAGTTCGTCTACGTCTGTAGATTTCCTTTTTATAGAACAGTTAGACGATGACAGTCTGATATCACTAGGGTTACCATATGACAGGCGTTTGCCGCATTTGACAGGCATTTAACGGTTTAGACAGGCGTGCGGCCGGCATTGGTCGGAGACAGGCATTTTTGAATTTCGCGCCCACGCGCGCATCGCGCTTGCATACATGCAAGCGGGCGTGAAATTTGAATGACACCGACTGGCGGCGCGCCGGTGAGCAGCGCGGGGCAAGACGCGCTCACGGGTAGCGCATGCGTAGTAGTATCGCATGCGTAGTAGTACCGCATGCGTAGTAGTCGAGGCGGCGCGAGAATGAGAGGGAGGATAAGCTACGTTGCGTGGGCGGGAGTGGGACGGGTGTCGGTGTTTCCTATCACTTCACCAAAGACAGCGTTCTATTATTTGTTTACTTCATGAACTCAAAACAATATTTAGTCTGCATGATTAGTTCAATTAGTTAGCTTCTAAGCTAAGGTATGTTTTTTCAAGTTGTTTTATTGTTTTACAATGGATAGTAAAAAGAGAAAGCTTTGTAAGTTTTCGGAGATTTATAGCAAGTAAATTTCCTTGTCTCGTGGAAGGCCGCAATGAGTCGGAAGCTAAGTGTAAGGTATGCAACTGTTATTTTAGTTTTGGTTCTTGAGGTATCAAGGATGTGCAAAGACACATGGAATCTGAAAAACATAAGAAAATGTCTAAAGCAGTGTCTTCCAATAGTAAGATGAATACATTTTTCAAACCAACGCTAAATATTATTCCGGAAAGAAAAGCCGCTGCAGAAGCTACGTTGACTTACCATACTTTAAGACATCACCAGTCGTATAAGTCTATGGATTGCACAGGATTATTGAGGAAATTATTTTCTGACTCAGAGGTGGGAAAGACGATAACCTGCGCCCGGTCAAAAACCGAAGTATTTGTTAACAATGTTATTTCCCCCCATGTAATGGAAGGTCTTGTGGAAACATTGAAATCTGATTCAGTATTATATTTTGGTCTATCAACTGATGCCAGCAATCACGGAGCTCAAAAAATGTTTCCAATAGTAATACAATATTTTGATTATAGAATTTTAGAACTCGATGTATTGCCAAACGAAACTGCCGAAACAATCACGCAATATATTGTTAACACCTTGAAAAAACACGGAATTGAACAAAAATTAGTTTCTTTTACTGCTGATAATGCCAACGTCAATTTTGGTGGCATTAATAGGCCAACAGGCGGACAAAACGTTTTTGTATTATTGAAACAAGAACTCCAAAAGCAAATTGTAGGCGTTGGATGTCCTGCCCATATACTGCATAATTGTATTAGACACGGTGCAGACAAATTGGAAATAGACATCAGTTCGCGGTGATGAAAATTTATAATTATTTCTCAGTCTACACAGTTCGCACAGAGAAGTTAAAACCATTTTGTGATACTGTTGAAATACAATATCAGCAACTGCTATACCACAGCAAAACACGATGGCTGAGTTTATTTCCAGCAATAGAAAGGATCCTGAAATTAATCCCAGCATTAAGAGTATTTTATATCTGTCGAAGGAACTCCAACAGTGATCAAACGACTTTTTGAGGACCAATTCTCAGAGATTTATTTATGGCATATTCACTCATTAATGCCTCTGTTTCAATCTAAAATTCAAGCTATTGAGAAAGAAGGTGTTACTATTGCAGAAATTAACTGTATATTAAACGCAACTTTAAATGCACTCAAATCTCGTAAAGATGAAAATTTTAAATCATTGACAGTTATTCGACTACTGAACACTTTGGAAAACAATGGAACAAGTACCGATAATTTTAAAACCGAGATTCTGGACCTGTATGTGGATTTAACAGCTTATTTGGAAAAATGGATTAAAAATATCGAAGAATTCTCTTTCTTCCGATGGATGATTTTACAAAAAGAAATGAAAAGTTTCTCAAATTCTGATTCAGCTTCATCTATAGAATTTCTCTCTAAGCTGAATATCAGTGTTGACGACGTGAAACTGTTTGACGATACGAAGTTCTAAAAGAATATTGTAGAAGTTCAGATAACATTTTTTTTTCTGAAAGCTTAACTACACAGTGGTGCAATTTTCTCAAAAGTAGGGAAGTGAATGGTGACATTACATAATTCATGAAAATCTGCCAGTTTGTGTTCTTTTGGCACACAATGCGAACGTAGAACGTACGTTTTCTCTCGTCAACGCCCAGTGGAGTAAAGAAAGAAATCGGCTGACAATTGAATCGGTAAAAGCAATATTGATTACTCAGGAAAATTACAAAACTGTATCTTTTGAAGATTTTTACGTTTACGTATTAGAAAAGAAAGAACTGTTAAAAAAATTATGTCCTCTGACAAATATCAGTAATAAATATCCTTCTTCACTATTATCTGTTGGCTTTTACTTATTACCTACAGCGTTTTGCTTTAGACAGGCATTTTTCTGAAAATTCAGGCATTTTATGTACCATAGACAGGCATCCCTCTATTTACATATGGTAACCCTAGGTATCACTCAGTTTTGAAAGAAATTGCAGCTTATAAAAATGTACATATTTTCTATTTGATGTTGCTCCTGACCTACTTTTTATTGTTTTTTTGTTTATTCAATTCACGAAAGTAGCTTCAACGAAAAATACATTTTCGTTGAAGTTGAGCAGCAATAAAATAAATACATATAATGTAAACCTTTTTGTGTGCAATGTCTAGGAAAAATTGCAAATTTCAAAATACATACAAATAAAAACATGCTGGTTTTTTTTTCTTCAGGTATTTAGCATCAGGTTGCAGCCTTACAAGTTTACACCACTCTTATCAACGAGGACTTCCAACTATTTGCGAGATTGTGAATGAAACATGTCATATAACTGATTAAAACTACTTTTACGGATTTTATCGCGTTTAATTTTACTTTTATTTATTTTTAATTCCCGACGTTTCGGGTGCTTTTCAGCACCTATGGTCACGGGGGACTGAGGTGACTGACGTCCCGATGTCATTGTTAAACCCGGAGTACCTTCAGCTTTTTAATTTAAATTTTAAATAAAATTTAAAGGCGATAAAATCCGTAAAAGTAGTTTTAATCAATGTGTAGTGTTCGCGTAAATATAAGAAATCATGCTGTCAAATAATCTTCGAAATCCTAAATGCTAGTTATATTCCCTATTTGTTTAGGTGCCATAGATGGTAAACATATACGAATCATCAAATCCGGAACACTCCGGGTCTTTGTATTGTAATCATAAACATTATTTTTCTATTGTTCTTTTAGCTGTATGTGATTCTAATTATTGTTTCACCTATATAGATGTTGGGTCTTACGGCAAAGCTGCGGATTCACAAATTTTCAAAAATAGTGACTTCTATAGAGAACTTCAGGAACGAAGATTTAACATCCCAAACAGCGCATCGAATGATATAATAATGGAGAGTTACTGACTTTTGTTTTTGTTGGGGACAAAGCATTCGCAATTAGTAAATTTATTCAAAGACCTTATAGTGGCAATAATTTAAGTCGACACCAAAAAATATTCAACTATCGATTGTCAAGAGCACGGCGGTATTTTTTTTTATAGGAGAGAGGGCAAAGAACGGTAAGTGATTACCGCCTCCCATGAACAGCTGCAACACCAGGGGAATTGCAGATGCGTTACCGGCCTTTTAAAAAGGAATAGACTTTTTTCTTGAAGGTCACTAAGTCGTATCAGTCCAGAAAAATCTCTGGTGGTATTTGATATTGAATGCATGTTTGGTATCATGGCCAATAAATTTAAAATATTACATAGAATACTCCATAGAATACTATAATACATACACAATAGAACGGGGGAGTGGGCGAAGCCCGCGTAGCCACTAACACGTCAATTCACACGTATAAATGTCAACACGAGATGTGTTTTGACGTTACAATCATTTCCAAATTGTGCATGCAAATTATTTAGAAAATGCCAAATTGCACGCTATTTACAAAGAAATATGTATTAAAATTTAAACGATTTTTTTTAATGATGATCTTGAACATTAATCAAAAGTCTAACAGCCCGGCCACGAGACATTCGCCGAAGCGAAAATTCGCGCGGCGCGAACGGCGAGGCGTCTAGCGACTAAAACAAATGTATAAAAATGTACGGACCAAGACACGCGTAGCGGCGAGTGGCGACGCGACCGGCGAAATTTACCGGGCGAATAAGTGCAAGCCACGGAGTCGGGCGGCAGACGCGGCGGCAGAGTCGTCGAATAGTATAGGGAACAAAATATTTTAGTTGTTTTCGCCGCGAAAAATGCCGGGCCGACAAAAACAACTTAAAATTCTAGCCGTATTGACTTTTATTTCCAATTCTGGTTGAATATTAACCAGAATATAATCGCTGGTTTCGACGCTCATTTTGGTATTTACTCGAAATTTTTTTCTACATGCATTCTATTTGTTGTGGAATTTTACATCTATAACCCAATTCCTATTCAAATCAAGTACTCCGCAATCTCATCCAAATATTATGTCTTGAATCAAAAAACAATTACTTTCTAAGCAATATCGAGACAAATTTGATAGACATTTCACTCTCGGCCTATCTGGTCGCGGCTGCAAACGTGACTTCCCTTGCCCTCAAATCGCGCCGCGCGAATTGTCGCCCCGCCTGTCGCTTCGCCGTTCGCGCCGCCGTTCCCCGTGGCCAGGCCGTAAAATGTTTAAATTTACTAAGTCCGTCAAACACAGCGAATCGGGTTTGTAGTAGTGATAATACGACGTAATTGCTTATATGTGTGCTCCCGGCGACACCGATCCTCGTAGAAAATAAGGTTGACAGTCATTCTATTATGTATTATAGTATTCTATGCGTGCGTGTGTAACGGTAGTGGCGCTGCAACTGCGCTTCTAGAAATTGTACAAACATTAGTTAGCAGCGCTTATTCACGCCTCTAATTTGAAGGCGCCCTTAATTTGTATGTTATTGTTGTAGATTTCTGTCGCCAGTGTTTTTTGAGATTTATTTTATTTGTACTAATTGGTCACACTATTAGCGAAATATTATTCCTATATTGGGATTTTTTTTCTTTTTTTTATAGAAGAGAGGGCAAACGAGCATGCGGCTCACCTGATGTTAAGTGACTACCGCCGCCCATGATCAACCGCAACACCAGGGGAATTGCAGGTGCGTTGCCGGCCCTTTAGAAAGGAGTAAGCTCTTTTCTTGAAGGTCCCCAGGTCGTATCGGTCCGGAAAAATCGCCAGTGGTAAACTATTCCACAGAGAGGTTGTACGCGGAAGAACACTCCTTGTGACTTGATAATACCTTGATATTAAAAAAAATTACAATAACAGTTTTCTTCACGAGTGTACATGCGCTAAAGTTCGCAGAGCCTATGTTCAGACTCGCCAAGATACGTCGGCCGTATTTTACATGGCGACATTAGTTACCACTAGCGCCTTATAGTATCGAGTAGCAGAAATAGGAGAGTCAAGATCGTTCTAGAAACTTCCATGGAAGAACTTTCTAGAACTGTCGACACCTAGTCAGTCAGGACCGGTATGTTCTCAAATATTCTAAATGTTTCTACAAAAGAAGGTTCTGGAACTATCTGAGGCTCTATATAAGACCGGTATAGACCGCGACCCGAGTCAGTATTGAAATGGAAATTAAAGCGAATACTTCGAAGCGATACAACTGCAAACTAAAGTAATCATTAGTACAATTGTGTTTTGTTATTACTTATTAGTGTGATTTTAAGTTGTAATTAGTGTTCTGTAATTAAAATCCATTTTGGTAATTCAATCGGCAGTTTTTATTGTTTTCAACCGCCAGCTCCTAACATTATAATTTGCGCTCTGTATACGTCTCACAGCGGCGTCTCCACCTCATGATGACTTCACATGTCTTAGTATTTTTTAATCTTGTCATACAAATGTTCTCAAGTTGTTTTCTCTCTTATATCATTATTATTACAGCCCTTCGCAAGTCCATGCTGAACACAGGCCTCCAAGAAATGCCACAAAGCACGGTCCTTAGCAACTATCGACTTCCTGCATCTCTTGCCAGGTCGTCACTCCATCTAGTGATCCTCATCATCACTTCATCTATCGTCTTTGATATATACGATGATATGTTTGTTATTAACAACAATGGCAGTCTCCAAACCCATCTGGGACTTCACTTGTTCACTTGTGGCATCGACACTTGGATAATTTTGTGCGTAAACGTTTCACTTCGGTCTCCAGACTCTTAATTTTTGCCTGAAGCATTCTCATTTGTGAACATTTGTGTACAGATGTTCTATTGGTAGCGTCTGCAAAATAAATAACATTACATTTAAAAGTTAGTTAAATATACTATTTTTATAAACGAAATACTGATTTTTTAAACAATAATTGTTTATTTTCGTTAAATTTTCCTCTTTTTTTACCTATTTATAATTTGCGAACACTGTTATTTTTCAAAATGAGAGATATCCGGTGACGAGGGTGAAGGTGGTTTCGGATCAATCAAATCCAAACGCGATCGTAATTTACGGCCAAATACCATTTGAGCAGGCGACACCCCCACCAATGGCGGTGTAAGAATATCCACTATACCATATCATCCCGTGGGCGTCGTAAGAGGCGACAGAGGGAAACAAATCATATGGGCAGCAGCGTCTTCCCAATAACGACTAACAATAAAAAACTGTGATTGTTAGTACGCTTGCTAAGCATGGCAACTATGCTTACTACCCCCCCCCCCCCCACTGAATATTATCCCATGAGGCAATCGAAGAGAGAGGCCTATGTTCGACGGTAGACTTGGGGTATGCTCCGAAATACAACCCAGTACACTCATCATCATCATCATTACAGCCCTTCACAAGTCCACTGCTGAACATAGGCCTCCCCCAAGTAATGCCACAAAGCACGGTCCTGAGCCACCTGCATCCATCGACTTCCTGCATATCTTACCAGGTCGTCACTCCATCTAGTGGGGGGTCGCCCTACACTACGCCTACCGGTACGAGGCTGCCACTCGAGAACCATTCTTTCCCATCGGTTATCGGTTCTTCGAACTATATGGGCGGCCCATTGCCACTTCAGCTTACTAATCCGTTGGGCTATGTCGTTCACTCTGGTTTTATTGCGGATATCCTCATTTCTGAGTCTATCACGCAGAGAAACTCCAAGCATAGTCCTCTCCATAGCTCGCTGAATGACCTTGAGCGTCCTCATACGGCAAACAGTGAAGGACCACGTCTCAGATACATAAATCATCACTGGCAACACGCACTGGTTGTACAATCTAGTTTTCAGAGATTGAGGTATACCTGACGAGAAGATGTGTCGTAATTTCCCGAACGCTGCCCAGCCGAGTGGAATCCGTCGATTGACCTCTCGGTCGAAGTTGGACTTACCTAGTCGGACTATTTGTCCCAGGTAAACATACTCGTCAACAACTTCGAGCATAGTGCTCCCAACAACTACCGGCATAGGTGTAACATGGACATTAAACACGATCTTTGTTTTGTCCATGTTCATCTTAAGACCTATCCGTTGGGAGACACCATTGAGGTTATTGAGCATATTGCTTAGGTCCTCCAGCGATTCTGCCATTAAGGACTATATCGTCGGCAAATCGAAGGTGAGTGATGTACTCGCCATTGATGTTAATACCGTATCCTTTCCAGTCCAGTAGCTTGAAAACGTCTTCCAATGCAGCAGTGAAGAGTTTCGGGAAAATAACGTCACCCTGTCTTACACCTCTCTGCAGTTAGATAGCTTTCGAGCTCTGGTTCTGTACTCGGATAGCCATCGTAGCCCTACTGTAGTAAGTGGCAGATTGTACTCTTTGGTCTTCTGTACAATCTGCCGCAGGGTATGTATGTGGTCTATGGCACTGAAGCCTTTTCGGAAACCGGCTTGTTCGGGAGGCTGGAAGTCGTCGAGTCTGCGTGCGAGACGATTCGTAATGACTGACAGACAGATCTCTGGCAAAGACTTTGGAGCCCTGGTTCCACTCGATCGCTTCTTTAATACGAGCAGTATTAAAGTTGCGTAAGTCTCGCCGCATGCATTTGGAGATCTGTCTGTTCAGTTGCCTGTATGCTGTCAAATCTGTTGACGATTGCAGACTCATCTCCCGTCTAACAGCCATGAGATTAAGAGTGTGATCGGAGAGCTTTTGTGTTCTTCTGCGGCCGGTCTTGCAGAACTTAGCTCCGTCCGTATGGACAGTTTCCACGAGCTTGTCATTCATATTGTCCAATGCATTGCAATCTTCTAGGCACTGAAAGCGGTTATGTAACTCGAGCTGAAAGGTTTCGGGATTCTGGATTAGAGCATGAGGGGGACGGAGCGTTGACTTCATTAGACGAGACCTCTCCAACTTAACGTTTAGGTTCAGTGTGCCTCTAACCATTCGGTGATCGCTGCCGGTTTTCACCCTTGCGATCACTGAGACATCACTGAACAGTTGGCGTCTGGTCGTCATAATGAAGTCAATCTCATTTTTTTTTGAACCGTCGGGGCTCGACCAAGTCCACTTTCTGTGGGGCCGCTTCTTGAAGAAAGAGTTCATCATAAAAAGTCCCTCTTTCTACATGAAGTCGGCCAGCTGTTGGCCCTTGGATTCCGTTGCCCTATCCCAAATTTCCCTACCTTCAGCTCACCACTCTTTCTTGTGCCCAGTTTTGCGTTGTAGTCTCCCATTAACACCGTATAGTGAGCTTTGGAGGAATGCATGGCTCTAGAAATGTCCTCATACATTTCTTCCACCTCCTCATCGGGATGTTCCGACGTTGGCGCGTAAACCTGTATGACCTTCAGTGAATACCGTTTGGTGATTCTGAGTATAAGGTACGCAACCCTCGTCGATACACTCCCAATCTTTAAAACGTTGTTAACGAGAGACTTGTGGACGATAAATCCAACACCTCCTTGGGACAGATGGTCGCCCTCCCGGTGATAGAACAAGTTGCCGGATTCGAGAATCACCGTGTCCTCCCCCTCTCTTCGGACCCCGGATAATCCTATAATATTCCAGTGTAACTTGTCTATCTGTTCTTCCAGCTCCAGGATCTTTTCGTCAGTCCTCATGGTGCGTGCGTTAAATATTGCCAGGTTGAGTAGTCGTAGGTGGCAACCGAACCTCCACCGGAGATTCTTAGCATCCCCTGCCCCGCCGTTACCATGGTCGCCACCGTATCCAGGAATAGCGGGGCCGCCGGGGACTGGGGGACGTCTATTTGTGTAATTGTTCATGGGGGGTATATTGCCATAGTTGCCACGCTTGGCGAGCGGGTTGGCAACCGCAGTTTTTTTGTTGTACAGTTGCTGTTATCAGGAAGATGCTGCTGCCCATCTCCTGCCTGTTTCCCTCTGTCGCCTCTTACGACACCCACGGGAAGATATGGGGTAGTGGATATTCTTACCCGCCACTACACGGCACACCCAGTACACTGGCCAATGCAAATGACGTCATAAAGTCGACGCCATACTTGTGATTCGTTTCTAAACATTGAACAGTATATGACATCATACATTTGCGCGATATTGGAAAAATGTTGGCGATTATTTTATGTCATTTTGTGCTCCAGAAGTTATTATATCCCGTTTCAATTAATTTGTGAAGAATGGAAATACCGGCAATTATTCTATAATGTTTTGTATTTGAATTTTAGCATGCTTCATTCAGCGTACACACATTTAAAAGTTGTTTTAATACAGCGGGATAACCGACACAATATGGCGGCGGCACGCTAGTACAATATGGCGTCAATTAATGACGTCATTTGTATTTACCAGTATAGTAATAATAAAGTTTAAATAATTATGAACAGTACTAACATAAATAAAAAATTGGAGAATTGTTGATATTTTTTTAAAGCTTTATTGTTCTAATTATAAAGATACAAAGGGCGGTATTTACATAGTATAAATAAAGAGGCCAAGTAGGTTATCTCCGGCCCAATCCGCGATATAATTGCCTACTGTCTCAGGGTTGTCACTGTCACCAAATCATCAGATTAAAGCCCGGCCCTTGCCAAAGATAATACATCTCTGTATAACTAATTCAGTGATCATTAGTCGATAAAGTTCAACAACGGTTTTCCTAACAAATACAGAAATGTATTAAGATTCAGAGCAGTATTATTTATAAAAAAAAGGGATAAAATAAACCGGCGGGGCGGTGTGGGCGCGACTGTCCACGCTTCGTCGGATTCGGTTGTCGCCCAAACTGCTAACAAATATTTATAGACTAAGAGCTCGTGTTTAAATTATTTACTTAGTATATACTAGTTACTTTTTTTTTAATAGGCATAATATAGTATTTGTACACATAAAGGACCATATTAATTTTTATTTTCAATTAATACAAGCATATATATATTGAATCACACATTTATTACAAAATTACAAATTAGCTACAGAAAAATACTTTCTTCGGTTTCGACTATTACGAAACACCTTGTTATTAAACTTTAATGTGTAATATATCCGCATCCTTATAAATAACTTTTGTGACGCGCGAACCTCGTGCGGTGAACTTCGAGATTGTGTTTAAGTGTGCGTGCGGCGCCTCATAGATACTATGGCGCACACATACAAGCCGCGCGCAGTGCGTTTGTATGAAGATAACGTACTTCCCCTCTCTTTATACTATGGTATTAATGCCAGTTAGCATTCTCTAATTATTATTAACAGGCATTCTATACATGGTAAAGCCACGCTACAGCTACATTATGGATGTAGCAGCCTAATGCTGGTGTGTTTCGTATGGTGAGTGTAGAGAACCGGAGACCCTTTTTACTGGAAACAAGGCATTCCATCTTAGTTCCCAGGGGTGACAACACTTCTGCGTTTTGATTCTTAATTGAGGTTAAATGTAGATGTCTATGGGACGCAGCATCCACTTACCATCAGGTGGACTGTGTGCTCGTTTCTTAACCTTATTATATAAAAAGGCGTCTTTTTATTAAGAAATATGTCCATATTTATTGTGACCTACTCAAAGCAAAAAAATTAAAATTAATAACTTACCTTTAAGGAATACTTTTCTTTTGAGCCTCCGTCTAGGTTTTACACTATAATTGTGTCCCCATACTGCTGAAGATGCAGTATCAAAATTATTTTCATCTGAAAACAATACAAAAGCAAGATTAACATGGTAGCGCCACGCTACAGCTATATTACAATTGTAGCAATTGGTCGGCTCGACCGGGGTAGGACCACGCTCTCACAGAATACCAGCGTGAACGTGAAAAAGCAGCCTAATGTTGCTGTTTCGTAAGGTAAGTGTAGAGAACCGGATACCCTTTTAACTGGAAACGAGGCATTCCATCTTAGTCTTCAGGGGTGTCAACGCATCTGCATTTTGATTCACTATCAAGGATAAATGTAGATGTCTATGGGCCACAACATCCACTTAACTTCAGGTGAACTGCGTGCTCGTTTGTCGAATTATTCTATAAAAAAAAATTACGGTACAAAATTATCAATATTGTTACGAGCTTAGGATTCGTGACAGTAAAAACTGCCGATTGAATTACCAAAATTGACAGCTTATTCCATTCGATAATAGATGGCGCTAGTGGGAGAGTTCTAGAAATATCTTGATGCTCCTATTTCTGTTGCTTGATACCAGATGGCGCTAACAATCAGCCGCCACACACCAGGCGCTAATTATAGCGCGCAACAATATCAAGTAACAAAGGCTAAAAAATCATGGGGGTATTATACCAAACATTGACCTTTTACCCTATGATATTTGATATGTTTGCCTCTCTTTAACAGGCGGGTTGATAAACGCAGTTTTTCATTATTTTAAATTGTTATAAGGAGGATGTTGCAGACCATTTGTTTAATTTCTCTGTCAAATATACAAAATTTGACCTGCGCAAAGTTCATAAATTTTTTAAACTAAGTTTGTATAAAAAGAGTTATTACAATGTTAAGGAATTTATGGATATTGATTAAAACTACTTTTACGGACTTTATCGCGTTTAATTTTACTTCTAATTATTTTTAATTCCCGACGTTTCGGGGGACTGAGGTGACTGACGTCCCGATGTCAATGTTAAACCCGGAGTACCTTCAGCTTTTTTAATTATTGTTTATGATCCGATCTATGCAAAATGAACTGACTATGTCTTGAGATCTTGCAGTGGTATGTTTGGGTTTAGTTTTATGTTATTGGTTATATGGTCCCAAGCAGTTGGTAGTACCCAGCCTCCTTCTCTATTGAAATTAAGATGTTTTTTAATTTCAATAGCCTCACGTATCATCCTTGGTAGGAATCGGTGTTCTTGCGCGAGTATTTGTGGTCTATCAAATCTGATTTGATAATTAAAAGTAAAATTAAACGCAGTAAAATCCGTAAAAGTAGTTTTAATCAATGTGTTGTGTTCGCGTAAATATAAAAAAATCATTATGAATTTATGGATGATAATAATCCCTGAGAAATGTGATCGCTACCAAGCTATTTTAATTTGTTTTGTGTTGATTAATTTTGTAACATAGGTACATGATTGTAAGCTGTCATTTTTTTTAACTGTCCCGCTGGGTTTCTTGCTGGTTATTCCCAGGACAGAGGTTTTTATTACGAACCAGTGGTAAATTAAAAAAAGTGACTTTTAGTAAGTATTATTTATAATCTATATTGGATAAAAAAGTTTCTTACGACACCCACGTTATATATAGTACTATGTTTCATAAAAATTTATATAAAAAGTAAAACCGAATTGAAATTAAAATGCCAAGACATAGTGAAACCACAATATGCAGAGCTGCAGTCATATGCTAAGTTTCTAAGATTATTGAATAAAACTATTTTCACGAATTTTATCGCGTTAAAGAATCATGCCCACTTTTCATACATTGATTAACCTGTCACTTGATTCCTTTAACAGGTCGTGTCTACATACAACTAGTGTTGTATAAAAACAATTATTGTTTATAATAACATAATTACTTATCATCTTTTCATTTAGAGGCCAGGGAAAATGCTATAAGTAAATAAGTATTTGAGGTTATAACATCTGTCAGATTAGGTCTGTACACTTATTTTTCTTTCCACACCATAGTATATAAAACCATGAAAAAATCGTATCGAATCATAAATTAATAAGTTATAAAAAAGCAATTGGTTATTTTGAACATTCATAAGCCACATGACAAATGAACAAGTTTTTTGTAGCCTGAAAGGAACGGGTAAAACACGTTTTTCTTTTGGGTCTTTGAGCCATTGTAAAACAAGTTCCGTCTCCAAGTTTATTGAGAATAGTAACATTACTTTTTTCCTGGCTTTATTCGAAAATTCAATTATGCGACACGAAATAAGCAAAAAAATATACAATTTTATAAGATATTTTACATCACTAGACTCGGTAGTAAATTTTCAGGGCAAGACTGAACATGATTCTTTACTTATTTTTAATTCTCGACGTTTCAGATGTTTTACAGCACCCATGGTCACGGGGGACCGAGGTGTTTGGCGTCCCGATGTCTTAGTTAACCCGGAATACCATCAGCTTTTTATTACTTTTGGTCCGATCTACGCAGAATGACATGTATAATGTAATGGGTTAAATATGACATTTGAACGTCAATCACCTCAGTCCCCCCGTGAGCTTTAAAGGACATTAAGAATAAGTAAATCTGTCAAAAAGTATCTAAAAAAAGTCTGGAAATAAGTAAATTAAACGCGATAGTCTGTAAAAATAATTTTGCTCAATGTGTAGTGTACGCGTAAATATAAGAAAAATAGTCTAATAAGATTAATTAATAACCTGAAAGTGCACCAAAGCCAGCGGGAATAACAAGATCAGGATCAAAATCACTGGTCGTTGTGGGTGGCTCGATGACCGTTTCTTCTGAAAAAAAAACCCAAATAAATACTACATATTATGATCCTGATTTTATAATGATAATCTGTATTTGCAAGAATATGGTTGTACAATGGTGTTTGAATATAATTTGTTCTACATATTTCTACCTCAGTGGTGTGCAAATATTAGGTCAAGTAGCCTATACAACAATAGTTATCGAATTATTTCAACACAAATTATTAAATATCATTCAGTTGATTTGATAATTAATTAATTATGTAATGGGTGTCAGAAAAATACCAATAAGATATATAAGTAATTATTATTATAGCTCAATCTCAAATATTAATATTCATATGTCAATAATTATATAATTTCAATTATATATGTTACATATCCAATTGTCATTAATTTATTTTAATATTTATATCGAACTTATAATTAAATAAATCAAATTTTCAATATTTAATTTTTTTTAAAGACAGGGTGACAAACGAGCACACAGTCCACCTATGGTAAGTGGTTGCTGTGACCCATAGACATCTACATCTATCCTCGATTACGAATCAAAATGCAGATGCGTTGTTAACCGTGACGAATAAAGGTGAACGCACATATGTGAGCAACGTACGCATCGCACGCACCGAACGCGCCGCATTTCCTGATAGCCTCGCACATTCGCGCAGTACGCGTCGTACGTGCCGTAAGCAAATCTTTGGTATTGCAAACAATTTTTACTGTTTTTTACCTTTGGTGTGAAATGGTACAGTGAGTGGTATTGTGACATTGAGCTATGGAAGAAAGTGTAATAGCCTGCTTATTGGCAGAGGAAGAAGAAAATGAAATTCGAAGAAATAGAAGATTCTGGATTCACAACATTAATTTTAAAAGGCACTTGTATGGAGAATATCATACGTTATTTCCAGACTTAGTAGATGATGATCAACGATTTTTCAGATATTTGCATTTGACATACAAGAAATTTCAAGAATTACTACATATTCTAAAACCACATCTTCCTATACAAAATTCAAGATTTAGAAGGGTTATCGGACCAAAGGAAAGACTTGTTGTATGTTTAAGGTATTATTTATTGATAAGTTTTATTGAGAAGTTAGTACTCAGGTATAATTTAGAAAAGAACACGAATCAGCAAGTAGTAATTTTAAAAATTATTTAAATACTACGTATTTCTTTAGTTCTTCATCCACCTCACAGCTATCATTATCATAGGATGCATTGAGAACCTGGTCGTTTAATATCGTTATCTAATGTGTAGGAAGTATTGGTCTCATTACTTGACGCGGAATCGTCAGAGTAATATTTGAATGCAGAATATCTTCGTTCGTAATACGAGACTCTTCATTTGTCATAGTCGAAGTTGTCGGTGTAATACAAGAATACATTCAAGTATTACACCGACAACTTCGATTATAGGATCGTAATTATAGGATCTACAAGATGCAGGTGTGTACAAGCTAGATTGTGAATGTGGTCTCTCTTACATAGGTCAAACAAAGAGATCTATAAAAACCCGCGTGAAGGAACATATAGCTGATGTGAAGCACCGACGCTCCAGGAAGTCTGCAGTCTGCGAACATGTTCAAGATCGTCCCCACCATTACATTAGATTTGATAAACCACAAATTCTCGCAAAAGAACACCGATTCCTACCAAGGATGATACGCGAGGCTATTGAAATTAAAAAACATCCAAATTTCAATAGAGATGGTTGGGTGCTACCATCTGCTTGGGATCCTATAATTAACAAAATTAAACCCAAACCCAGGCATACCACTGCAAGACTTCATGATATAAGCTCGTTTTGCGTAAATCGGACCAAAAATTAATATTAAAAAAAAACTGAAGGTAGCCGGACTAACTATGACATTGGGACGTCAAACATCTCAGTCCCCCCGTGACCATGGGTGCTGTAAAGCACCCGAAACGTCGGGATAATAATAAAAATAAATTAAAGTAATTAAACGCGATAAAATCCGTAAATAATAGTTTTATTCAATGTGTAGTGTTCGCGTAAATTTAAGAAATCATTAAATAAAATGCGATTCAAATAAGATTAGGACTGACCCGGCGCCATATTGTAACGTCATAGCTGTCAATTTAAACCAATTTCAAATAATTTTTAAATAATGTTTATTTACACAAGTGGTAAAATTAACTTTTTTTATATTAGAGGGGGCAAACGAGCATACGACTCACCTGATGGTAAGTGTTTACCGCAGCCCCTGAACAGCTGCAACACTGGGGGATTGCAGATGCGTTGCCGGCCTTTTAAAAAGGACTTTTCTTGAAGGTCCCTAAGTCAAAAATTTAAATAGTTAGATGCGCCCTTACCATAGTATGACCACTCCGAAATGTGTCCATTCTCAAATGAGTGAGCTCACTCATTCACAATCAGTGCTCATTTGTGCGACAGAGAAAGTAGTATACACAATTTCTGTAAGATAACAAGAGATGACACTATTTCATTAGTGTGCGTGCGACAGCGTCTTGCAGACGAACACATCCAAAAATAATGCCACAGTTTTCAAGGTGAAGGCGCATCTAACTATTTAAATCTTTGCCCTAAGTCGTATCGGTCCGGAAAATTCTCTGGTGGTAGTCGATTCCACAAGGAAGTTGTGCGAGGAAGAAAACTTCTTTTAAATCGCACAGTGGTGGACCGCCTGTTATCGAGATGGTATGAATGGTGGCACAAGTATTTGTACAACCGACTTCAATATAAATAGAATGAGGTTGTCATTAATGTAGGCAAAGTCAATTAAAATGCGTATTCAATTTAAAATTAAGGATAACTCAAAAACTAATGGTCAGGTCTTGAGCTTTCAAATAAAAAAAGTATCATCAAAATCGGTTTACCTGGAAAAAAATTCTGAGATAACACAAAAAAACACAATCGAATTGAGAACCTCCTCCTTTTTGAAGTCGGTTGAATAGAACCATGTACGAAAAATTATTCATCAGAATCCAGCATTTTAAATTATGGGTATGTTCCGAAACGTTTTCAAGTATACTACCGAATACAAATGAATACATCAACTGACGCCATATTGTACTGGCGTGCCGCCGCCATATTGTGTCGGATATCCGGCCACAATAAAACAATTTTAATTGTGTGTGCGCTGCATGAAGCACGCCATAATATGTTTTTATTTATTCAAATACAAAAAATTATAGAATAATTGCTGGTATCTCCATTAGGAGGATATAATGATTTTTGGAGCACAAAATGACAAAATAATCGCAAACACTTCAGATATAACGCAAATGTATGACGTCATTTGCATTGGACAGTACACTGGGTTCTATTTTGGAACACACTCTAGGTCTTCTCTGCATCACTGTCTAAAAAGTAATTATTATCATCGGTTCTGATTTCCATTATAAAAAACAACACATTATCACATAATAGATTGATTGATGATTGATCCCTGAAAGAGGTCCACTGTTGAACATAGTTGAAGGCCTCCCCCATAGATTGTCTTATGGGGGTGATATTTGCCATAGTTGCCAAGCTTGGCAAGCGGGTTGGCAACCGCAGTTTTTTTATTTTTTTATTTTTAGTCATTATTAGGAAGACGCTGTAGCCAACCAGATGAGAAAACTATATAGATACCCCGGAATAATAATAATAATAACATCTATAATAACATCTAACATCTGTCGAGCTTGTCGCCATCCCGGTGAGTCACTTAGGCATGTCATCTCCGGTTGTTCGGCGCTTTCTAACTCTGAGTACTTGCACAGGCACAACCTAGTAGCCAGAATTCTACACCAGGAGCTCGCTCTGAAATACGGTCTCGTGGATCGGAAATTGCCGTATTACAAGTACTTGCCGGAAGCCGTGCTCGAAAATGATCGCGCCAGGCTCTGTTGGGACCGGGCCATCATCACAGACAGGACTATTCTTGCGAATAAGCCTGATATTGTGCTGATGGACCGGGCACAGTCAAGGATATTTTTGGTCGACATTACCATTCCGTATGACGAGAACCTCGTGAAAGCCGAAACAGACAAGCAAACAAAATATCTGGACCTGGCTCACGAGGTGACCGACATGTGTGGTGGTCTGCCGACCGAAATTATTCCTGTAGTCGTCTCTGCAAACGGGCTAATCCCAGTCAGCCTCTCGGGTCATCTGAGGCGGCTGGGACTACGTGGCGGACCGCTCCAGGTTCAAATGCAGAAGGCGGTGCTCCTCGATACCGCCCGCATCGTCCGCCGGTTTCTTTCCCTTTCCCCCTAACCCTCGGCCGTTTGGTCTCCCCTGCCGAGGGCCTCCATCTGGTTGGGCTTTTACTTATTTATGTACTTTTATATTTATTTTATGTTATTGATATTTATGTATATTTATCTTTTCATTTTCATTTATAATTATATATTTATAGAACCCAACCAGATGAGAAAACTATATAGATACCCCACATAATAATAATAAATAAGCCCTTTTAAATATATAAATAATATATGTTGTGTTTTTTTTTGTTTTTTATAAAATGTCCCGAAGTTCAGTTTGCCTCTTGGCATAGGCCTCCTCTAACATTTTCCATAACTTATTTTTCCATAACATATTCCTTAACATAGGTCTCCACTGGGACCTGTCCCGTGCTACCCTTCTCCAGAGAAGGGTAGCAAATCTTACATGTTTGTTGTTAAATTTGCCTTCGAATAGACATTAACTATAACAACTGTCGGGTAAGATATAGTTTATTTTTATGCATTAAGGCTAACAAACGAATGCATAATCCATTTGTTTGTAAGTGGTTGCTGTGGCCCATAGACATATGCATCTATCCTCGATTACGAATCAAAACGCATATGCATTGTCACCCCCGAGTACCGAGATGGTATGTCTCGTTTTTAGTAAAAAAAGGTGTTCGGTTACTTTAAGATATATTGTGAAGTATATGTACTGGGTATATAATATGTGTAATAACACATAATAGCATGTAGTGGTATTTTCTTCAGAATATAAGTTCTAAGTGCTAAATTAGTATATTTAGTTAATAACCTGAAAGTGGATCAGCGGTAGCGGGAACAGCAGGCCAAGGTTCAAGATTACTGATAGATGTATATCGCTCAACAATAGTTCCATCTGAAATAAAAATAAATCTATATATTACATTATTAGGGATCGGTTGGCCGTTAAGGAAGCTCTAGGTCGCTCGGCGAGCTATGGAAAGGGCTACGCTCGGGGTTTTTCTGCGCGATAGACTTAGAAATGAGAGTATCCGCTGTAGACCCGGAGTAACCGACATAGCCCAACGGATTAGAAAGCTGAAGGTAGACGAGGTGTAGTGCGGCTCCCTACTAGATGGAGTGACGATCCGGTAAGACATGCATGGCTATGGATCGTGCTTTGTGGCATTCTTTGGGGGAGGCCTATGTTCAGCAGGGGACTTGTGAAGGTCTGTAATGATGATGAGGATGATAATCTTCCTGATTATATCATCAAATAATAAAAATCAACGGTCACCATCATGCCTGCCATCAATTTGGCAACCGCAGATTATTTTGAACTGTTATCATATTGTACCGGATCAAACGATTGCCAGGCCATACGACCAAAGACTATAGTAATGTCTGACGACTGACATTATCCAGCGGGTCTCACAGATCATAGACTACTGAAACTCAAATGATCCATTTGAATGGTCGACCCGAATGACCCGGTTCGTAAGACGAATCAATACTTGAATGGTCGCATCACTATAAATGAATGACACATGTCTATTGTCTCTAACGCCTCAGAGAAAGGCGACAGAGACGGCATCTACAAGATGATAAAGGGTAGTGCATATTGATTACTTTCCGTTACCGTTACATCTTATTATGAGCGTACTCGGTTAGCGCGGGAATTGAGAAATAGGTATTTGAAGAAACTATTGCCGTCGCGCTGCGCCCGAGCAACCGAGGTATCAATATGTGAGTGAATAGTCTGTATTTGTGTGCGTAGCTCCAGTACTAACTGCGGCAGTTGCCACTTCCCTTATTGTGTACGTATTATTCTAACCCTCCCTCATCTCTGGTTTCCCCCCGTAGAGTGCGATAGGGATAATTGCAACTCAGAACGATTTTACCTACAAAAACCATGACCGATCGACGTTTCGTATTCCCCTGTTTTCTCCTCGAAAACTAAGCTGATTAAAAACTATTTCTGCTATCAAAATTTAAAGGAAGAATAGATCAAGCTGATATTACTTGTTTTTATCTTAAAAACTTATCAAATTTCTTTGGCAGTCTTCTCATTACGGAGGTAAAAACGGGGCATTTTGTAGGTTTTTGGAGTCATATTTATTTTTGTAATATTTTTTTTGGAGAAAAATAAATGACAGGGGATGCTTTCAATAGACCTCGATTTTTATAAATAAAAAAGATTACTCTAGAGGCATTATCCAGAAAGAGAATAGTACAAAGTACAATACGTTTGTATGGAAGAAATGCAGCACGACTTAAGAGGTGAGAGTAAGTCAGCTCAAATTCTAATTTCGCCCCCACTTCCCCGCGCGTCGTATGCTATGTACCGACATGTTTGTAATCACTAATACTCTCAGTAGATAGGTCGTTAGATACTTATTTCATTATGTTTATCATATATATGCCTGTTTCTTAACGCCAACCCACTCGCTTCTTATTTTTATAACGGTTATTTCCCATTTTAATTTTACGTCTTCCTGTTGCGTAATGTGTTTTCTGATCGTAAGCGACACAACTTCTCCCTTCAAAAGCCGGAGCAATACTAACGGAGCGACGGGAACCAAGCTTACGCGCCGATAGTTTAGGTAATTTCTTTTTACAGTGAAAATAATGATATTTTAAAAAAAGTAAATAACATAAGCACTGCTTTATGGTTAGTTCAGTTAGTATGCAAAGTTTCATGATCTTATTTAAAGTATTTTATGAATAACAGCGGTTTATTGTTCAGTTTGGAGGTAACTTTGGATTTTTTTTCTATCGAGAAAATTTTACGGAATCGTGTTTTCGTCTAACATAAACCTTAACATTAATCCTCAACTTTACCATATATTTATTTCAAAATTAATGCTGCAATACTTTCGGCATAACGGAGGATCTTGCTAAGCCATTTGAGGTTATATTTCCCCTTAAAGTTCACTGCTAAATATAGGGCCTCCCCTATAGATTATAAGGAAGATAATTGACAAAGTTGCCATGCTTGGAAAGCAAGTTGGCAACTGTAGTTTTTTATTCTGATCATTCTTAGGAAGACGCTGCAAACCATCGCCTAGTTTGTTTCCACTGTCTTACGACACCCGCGGGATGATATGGGGTAGTGGATATTCTCACACCACCACTACACGGATGACTTACCTATAAGCAATACTTTTCTTATATGTTGTGGTTTAGTTATTATACTGTAGTTGTGCTCCCATTCTTTATCGGATGCAGCGTCACAATTACTTTCATCTGAAAACAATACAAAAGCATATTTTATACATGGTAAAGCCACACGATTATAGGCGTGATAAGAGATAAATATGGTATGCAAGATGATGTTGTGAGCAGGATTAAGAAAGGAATGCTTCGGTGGTTTGGTCATGTGGAAAGAATGAATGAGGAAAGAGTGACAAAGCAAATTTATATGGCAGATGTGAACGGCAGAGTCGGGAAGGGACGCCCTAGAAAAAAGTTTATCGACCAAATTGGCGATATTTTGAAAATGGGCCACGTTAAAAGTACCCTTAACCGACTAGCATGTATGCGTAGATATATGGATGTAAAGGAGGCGAAAGAGGTATGTCAGGATCGTGCCAAATGGAAGTCCGTGGCCTCTATCTACCCCTCTGGGTGACAGGCGTGAGTGTTTATGTATTATTATGTTATGCATATGTAAAGCCACACTGCATGTATACTACGGTTGTAGAACGAAAGGTTCGGCTCGACCAAGGATTAATGCAACTGTGTTTTTCACTGAATGTAGAGAACCGGAGACCCTTTTCACTGGAAATGAGGCACTTCATCACAGTCCTCAGGTGTGATTCGTAATCGAGGATAGATGTAGATGTCCATGAACCACAATATCTACTTACTATCAGGTGGACTGTGTGCTCGTTTGCCACCCTTATTCTATAAGAAAAACAAAGATCAGTCATTTGTGAACCATACAAATACTCAAATTGTCTCTAAAACTAAGTAACAAAATACACTACAATGGTTCTCTTTTACTTTATGATAATATCCCCCTATATTTCTCAATCTTGACATTGACAGAGAATCATCGGTTCAACGTTGGAGCCATTTTTACTTTAAAATAAGAAGGTAAGGATACGAATACACGACGCATATGGAAATTGAAACCATGGTATACGATCTGCTATCAAATTGTGAGTTTATATGTTTAATTAATAACCTGAAAGTGCATAGGTTTCCACAAGTTCTGGACAAGGTTCACAATCACTGGTAGCTATGTTTTCCAGAATAATAGTTTCATCTGAAAAAAGAAAAATATATGTAAACATAGTAAAGTAAAAAGTAAAGTTACAGCCTATATACGTCCCACTGCTGGGCACAGGCCTCCGCTCATTTCTGTGAGGGTTTTAGGGGAAAGAAGTGTCCGCCGCGCTGCGCCAATGCGTGTTGGCGAACTTCACATGTCTTCGAAATATTTATTTTTCTTATTCCTCAGACATGCAGGTTTGCTCACGATGTTTTCCTTCACCGCCGAGCACGTGGTAAATCAGCACTTAAAATTGCAATTAACAATTTCGTTGGTGCCGGCGGGGATCGAACCCGGGTACTCGCATTCCGTTATACTTACAGCGAGCGTTAACCATCTGAGCTACCACGGCTGTAAACATAGGTCAGACAATAATAGTTAACATCATCATGTCATCAAACATAAAAAATGCAAATTTTTTATATAGAATATAGGTTGACAAACAAGCACAGTCCACCTGATGGTAAGTGGATTTTAACCTCGATTAAGAATCAAAATGTAAATGCGTTGTCAACCCTGAGGATTAAGATGGAATGCCTCGTTTCCAGTAAAACGGGTCTCTGGTTTTCTAAACTCACCATACGAAGCACATCAGCATCAAGCTGCTATTTTACGCTGGTATTTTGTGAGAGCGTAGTACTTCCCCGGTCGAGCCGACCCTTTCAACCATAATATAGCTGCAGCGGTTCGGTATTCGGCCTATTCGGCTACTTTTTTTATTCAGTCGAATAGCGAATATCTTATGGACCCAATAAGCATGTATATTATATGTATTATTTAAAATGTATTGTAATTTTATAATAATGTATTTTTCTTGTAATCATTAAAATAATTATAGGTACATAAAAAACTCCGCACTATAAAAAAAAATGAAATATCGTATGGTGAGTGTAGAGACCAGAGACTTTTTTCACTGAAAACGAGGCATTCCATCTCAGTCCAGTTCCATCACGGGTGACAACGCATCTGCATTTAGATTCGTAATCGAGGATAGATGTAGATGTATGTCTATGGGCCACAGCAACCACTTACCATCAGGTGGACTGTGTGCTCGTTTGTCACCCTATGCTATAAAAAAAATTCTATGCACTTGGTTTATCGTTATTTAAATCTAGAAGTGGAAGATAATGGTGCAGAAAGACTATTTTCTGCATTTTCAGGCAGTTAGTTTACTCCTTTTCTTCTCGTACACAATTCCAGCTCCAGAGAAAAGATGCTCTGAATAAACATTACCATACTGCCTTCCTGGCTGAATACTTTTGCCTTTTATTCAGCTATTCGACCAGGAAGTCCGCACAATATTCGGTATCCGCCGCGCGGCCGAGTGTACGCTGCAAGTCTGATCTAAATTAACAGACTATTACTATACTAGGCCGGTATTCAGAGATCGTTATTTATAGAAACAGAAACTTTTTTATTCAATATAGCGTAAGTATAAATATTACTTATTAAGTCAGTCCTTTGTTTAATTTACCACTAGTTCGGAAAAAAAAATTTTGTTCTGGCATGAATCAAGATCAAGCAAGAAACCCAGCGGGACTTTTTTTAAACAAACCACAACTTAACATCAAGTATGTTACACAATTAACAACACATAACAAATTAAAAATAGTTCCGTAACGACCACCATTCCCAGAGGTTATTATCATCCATATAATCCTAAACATTATAATCCTTTTTATATAAACTTAGTTTAAGTTTTTTAAACTTTGAGCAGATCAAATTTTGTATATTTTCTAGGATTTTGTTGTAAAAGCATGCCCCAAGAATGGATTACTGACTTGGTGGAGTCGAGTAACTGGTACTACTAGCTTGTGTCTGTTTCTATTATTTACAGAATGAATATCACTTATATTCGTAAAACAATTTTTATTTTTGTGTATATACATTACATTTCCATGAATGTATTGAGTGGCCAAAGTTAATATATTAATTTCCTTAAATTTTTGTCTCTTTAGTTTTTATAAAATATTATCCTCACGCAAGGATTATAGCCTGAATCGTGGAGACAGTTTACACACATAAATTGTACAAGGACAAACATCCATAGACCTGCAACAATTATTTGTAGGCCATACAAATGACAAACTTATTTCAATCGTAATTCAAACCCGCAAATCTAGGCGCCGTTGTACAATACTTAGCCACTTTTGTTATAGGATAGTGTGACAAACGAGCACACAGTCCACCCGATGATAAGTGGCTGCTGTGGCCCATAGACATCTACATCTATCCTCGATTACTAATCAAAATGCAGGTGCATTGTCACCCGTGGGGACTAAGATGGAATGCTTCGTTTCCAGTAAAAAGGGTTTCCGATCCTCTCAATTGTCTATTTTATATACACATGTCTATTTTATACCAATCTGACCGGACAGTAGTACGTATCCAGACAAACTAAGACCAGGTGGTAGGACATCTTTTCTGCCTACGAAAAGGAAAGCCTAGTAAATTCACAACTGATCAAATGACGGAGTTAAATATGTTATGTGAGAATATAAACCATGGTATGCAGAACCGCAGTAAAATACAGCATTTTAATATACAAAATTAAATGAATTACCGGAAAGTAGAGCACAGGTAGCGGGAAGTTCAGGACTGTGTTCACGATTGGTGGTAGTTTCAGTTTGCTGAGCATCAGAACTTTTTCCTAAAGGAAAAAAAATACAATTTTTTTTTATGGAACTAGATTAACAAATTGGCAGTCCACCTGATGTTAAAGGTATGCGGTGGCCATAGATATCTATATATGAACTCAATTAAGAATTAAAATGCAGATGCATTGTCACTCCTGAGGACTAAAATGGAATGCCTTATTTTCAATAAAAAAGGTCTCCAGTTCTCTACACTCACCATACGAAAAACAGCAGCATTAAGGTATTATTTTACACTGGTACTCTGTGAGCGTGGTCCTTCCCCTGTCAAGCTGACCTATTCGTGCTACAACTATACTAATATATTTGCAGCATGGCTCTACCACATACTTTGCCATGGCAGACAAAATCTCGAATTCTATACGTAAGAACCGCTTCATTCTCAGCAACAATTCATTTCATGAGGTGCTTGAACGGTTTATATTCATATTATTAACTACTCATTCAGCATCTAAAGATGATTTAAAATAAACAACTTTAAGCTTATTCGTCTAAGAAAATAGTAGTTTTATAATGTTCTAAAAAGTATTGAATTAGCCTACTTTCAGGCTCAGTATACACTGTCGACTGGTCGCTGGCGACTCGTTCGACGGCGACAGTGACTTTCTATAGTTTACATAGGTGTTTACGCACTTAGTTGCCGGTTGCCCGGGCGACTAGACTCACGCGGATCACCCAGAGGGGTAAGCAGAGACTACTTCCATTTGGCACGATCCTGACACAACTCTATCGCCTCCTCCACATCCATTTACCAACTTTAATATATCGTCAATTTGGCCGATAAATAAATATTCCCTTCTCGACCCATAGCCACAGCTATACCAAGTGAACATGTAAGAAAAATAGTAAAAAGAAATTAACAGACTAGTCCCATTGACTTTTATCTGCAGAAATAGAAATATATATATATAAAAAAAAAAAATATATATATATATAACCCCCCCAAGTAACGCCAGAAAGCACGGTCCTGAGCCACCTGCATCCATCGACTTCCTGCATGTCTTACCAGGTCGTCACTCCATCCAGTGGGGGTCGCCCTACACTACGCCTACCGGTACGAGGCTGCCACTCGAGAACCTTTCTTCCCCATCGGTTATCGGTTCTTCGAGCTATATGGCCGGCCCATTGCCACTTCAGCTTACTAATCCGTTGGGCTATGTCGGTCACTCTGGTTTTACTGCGGATATCCTCATTTCTGAGTCTATCACGCAGATAAACTCCGAGCATAGCCCTCTCCATAGCTCGCTGAGCGACCTTGAGCGTCCTCATACGACCAGCAGTGAAGGACCACGTCTCAGATCCGTAAGTCATCACTGGCAACACGCACTGGTTATCCACTTTAGTTTTCAGAGATTGAGGTATACCTGACGAGAAGATGTGTCGTAATTTCCCAAACACCGCCCAGCCGAGTTAAATCTGTTGATTGACCTCTCGGTTGAAGTTGGACTTACCAAGTCGGACTATTTGTCCCAGGTAAACAAACTCATCAACAAATTCAAGCTTAGTGCTCCCAACAACTACCGGCATAGGTGTGACATGGACATTAAACATGATTTTTATTATCCATGTTCATCTTAAGACCTATGCGTTGGGAGACACCACTGAGGTCATTGAGCATAGTGCTAAGGTCCTCCAGCGATTCTGCCATAAGGACTATATCGTCGGCAAATCGAAGGTGAGTGATGTACTCGCCATTGATGTTAATACCGTATCCTTTCCAGTCCAGTAGCTTGAAAACGTCTTCCAACGCAGCGGTGAAGAGTTTCGGGGAAATAACATCACCCTGTCTTACACCTCTCTGCAGTTGGATAGGTTTCGTACTCTGGTTCTGTACTCGGATAGCCATCGTAGCCCTACTGTAAAAATCTATAATTCACTAAGGGACTGGAATAACTCCTATCCACATATCAAGTCAAATAAATATGCCTTATCAACGATAACTCCAAAAAAACAACTGGGCAGATCTTGATCAAATTTGTATGCGACCACAGAAGAAGCCACCTGCTTTCAAATAAAAAAGAATCATCAAAATCGGTTCATCGAGAAAAAAGTTCTGAAATAACACACATAAAAAAACATACAATCGAATTGAGTACCTTCTCCTTTTTGAAGTCGGCTAATAACAGTCCACCTGATGGTAAGTGGCTACTGCATCTGCAACCAGCTATAAAGGCTACAGATCTGTTGTTAACTCTGAAGAGACGGTAGTAGACAGTAAGTAGACACATAGACATGCATCAATCATGAATGATTCGTTCATTTCATCCGGGTCACATCAATGTATTGATGATTTTGATTAAATATTGTTGAATGAAATTACATTTTTGAATGTTTCAAATCAAACGATTGACAGGACCTACGATCATAGTATAGTAATGTCCAACGACCCATCGGGAGATCATAGACTACTGAAACTCGAATGATCCATTTGAATGATCGACCCAAATCACCCTGTTTGTAAGACGAATCAATACTTGAATGAACAGATCCCTAGAAATGAATGACACATGTCTATTTTATACCAATCTGACAGGAAAGTAGTACATATCCAGACAGACTAGGACCGGGTGGCAGGATTGCTTTTCTTGTCTGGGACTAGGAGTCCAGCCACCTAGTTAACAAACTAACCCACCAAATAATGGAGTTTAAATATGTTATGTGAGAATATAAACCATGATATGCAAAACCACAGTCAAATGCTGCGTTTTAATGTACAAAATTAAATGAATTACCGGAAACTAGAGCACAGGTAGCGGGAAGTTCATGATCAGTGGTAGTTTCAGTTTGCTGAGCTTTTTCCTGAACAGCACCTAAAAGAAAAAATTATACAAATTATTATTTTTTATGGAATTAGAATAACAATTCATTAAACCTTTAACATCAGGAGTCCACCTGATGTTAAAGGTATACATTGGCCCATAGATACCTACATTTGTCCTCAATTAAGAATTAAAATGCGATCGCTTGCCCGAAAACTAAAATTAATAGAAAATTTTAGTTTTCCAAGCGATCTCACAGACTCACAGAGTACTGGAGCCCGAAATGATCCATTTGAATGATCGATCCGAATGTACCAGTATGCGTGACGAAATGTACTAGAATGATTCGGTCGCTAGAAATAAATGATTGACACATGTCTACTCTGGATCGATTGAACTTTCAAACAAAAGAAACGTAAATCTAAATCGGTTCATCTATTTGGGAGCTGCAATGCCACAGACGGACATGCAGATACACACATTAAATATATAATAACACTCTGTTTGCATCGGGGGTTAGTAAGATTTATATTCAGTTGAACTGCCTCGTTGGTCTAGTCTAGTGGTTGTAGTAGTACTGCTAATCATGAGGTCCTGGGTTCGAATCCCGGGTCTGGCCAAAAAATCAATTATTGTGTTTTACTGTCAAGAAATTCTCAGTAGGTACCCGGAGTCAGGAAGTTGGCGGTGTCCCAACCCCGTGCCTCGGAAAGCACGTAAAGCCGTTGGTCCTGCAACTGATCTCTCTCTGGTCTTGTCAGTTTACCGTCCCATCAGATTACGAGAGTGAGGAAATAGTGAGTGCACCTGTGCATGCGCATACACTTGGGCACTATAATCCTGTCCTGCGCCGATGGCTAGCCTCGGTTGACGGCTCGGCAGGCCGCTGTGGCCGAAATTTGGTCTGTAGGACATTATTATTATTCAGTTGAACTACAGGGAACAGTCTAATTCTTTTGTGAGACTTCAATTAGTGAGAACTAACCAGCTGGTAAGCCCTTATCCTCATGCTAGTTATGCAGTCTAGTGCTACTTTTACAGGTTATTAGTATTACAATCATGAAATTAAGTTGGTTTATTTTCTGCACTTAGTTTTTTTTTAAACTGAAATGACAAACAAACTTGTGATTTTTTTTTATATATAGAACAAGGGTGACAAACAAACACACACACAGTTCAACTGATGATAAGTGAATGCTGTGGTCCATTGACATCTACATCTATCCTCAATTAAGAATCAAAACGCAGATGCATTGCCACACCTGAGGACTAAGATGGAGTGCCTCATTTCCAGTAAAAAGGTTCTCCGGTTCTCAACGCTCAGTATACGAAACACAGCAGCATTGAGCTGCTATTTTATGCTGGTATTCTGTGAGTGTGGTCCTTCCCCGATCGAGCCCACCCATTCATGCTACAACTATAATACTAATATAACTGCAGCATGGCTCTACCATGTATATTAAGATCCTTACCTGGTCGAGCCGACTCAATCATATCACAACGATAATATAGCTGCAGCATAGGTAAAGCCATGCTGCAGTTAAATTAGTAGTATAATTGTAGCACAAATGGGTCAGCTCGACTGGGGCAGAACCATGCTCTCACAGAACAACAAGTAAAAAGTTTCTTCAGAGGAAGACTTCAATAGTCTTGTCACCAAGTACTCGCCAGGGTGTTCTCCTCTTTCAAATACATCACCTCCCAAAACCGAATATAGCGCAGATAATCTCTCTAGTGTATCACAACCAAGTACATCTAAATGTAGTCGCCAACAAGAAGTGGTCTCATGCAATCAAGGGGCACAATCAGGTCCAAGCAACGAAAAAAAAAGGGTACGCCGCATTATGACCAAAAATAATGACGTTGTTGATATTTTCACACACTTTCTCAAGGTTGTTACGATTTTTTTAAATAATTAAGTTTACTTTATTCAGTCCTATGTTACTTGGTATCATTCAAGTTTTTTATTATATTTATCTTCTTAGTTTATTTGATTTAACTAAACTACTAAGGGTTTAATATTGTTTATTATTTACTTTTTATAATAAGAATAAAGCAGCTAATAATAGTATTATAATATTGTTGGTAATAAAGTAGGTAGAAAAATATAAACAAACTGTTATTTTGTACTACTTTGTAAAGATAAAGAATATTGTTGTAATTACGATACGCCAAGTACAGGCAAAGTTATTATACCTTGCATCGTAGTGTGTTTTAATGTTTCTAAAATACTGTTAGCAAACGGATGTTATTTTATATCATGACTAAATTTTACAATTTTTACTATTTCCCTGTTAACATTGATTTCAAGAAATGATTTGGTTACATAGACACTAACAAATTAAATATTTGATTTTGTTTTCGTTGGGAAAGATTAACTGTGGAATTATTAGTTTAATGTTGATGTTTTGTTATATCCTGTTTCTGTATTTACTTGTATAATAGTGTATTTTAATGTTCTATTAATTTAAGGTTACTTTTAAAAACAATGATTGTTATCTTTATCAGTCAACTGATGGGATAGAGCAGTGATAGTGGAGTAGTTGATTTTCTGGTTTATATGTATAGCCTAATAAATATTTTACACTTAGACTTTGTTTTATCTCTTAATATATTTAATATCTTATTATTTATTATTATCTAATATACATATTATATATAAATCTATTTAGAAGTTAATGATGAATCTTTTTATTCCATTTATAGTTCAGATTCCTCATACGCCTCTGGTAATGATCTTATAGATAATTTACTTCCCTTACGCGATCAGTTAAGTAATATTTTTCTGCCTCATAAAAAATATTTTAATATTTATCATACTAATGCACAGAGCTCCATTCCAAGTCATTTGTCCTACTTAGAAGAAGCATTCTCACTAGACTGTGTCGATGCTATCTTAATATCTGAGAGTTGGCTTAAACCATCTATTATGTCGAGTTTGTACCCATTACCCAATTTCATTCTTATACGGCAATGATCGGACTGAGAAGGGGGGGAGGTGGTGTCGCTATATACCTACGAAAAAATATTTCTTATAAAGTTGTTCTATCTTCCCCCTCCTCATTTTCTGCCACTGCTGAGTTTTTATTTCTAGAAATAAGCATTATGGGTGCTAGGGCAGTTTTAGGTGTTGTATATTGTCCTCCTTCTGTGGATTATTTTACCCCACTTGATACGGCTCTTGACACCATTGGATCTGAGTACATACATTCAAGGATTTCAACACTGATTTGTTAAAAAATACTTCTCGCTCCCAAAAACTTCGATCAATCATTGAATCAGTCGAACTCTGCATTCTCACACTGATGATTCGTTGATTGACCTCATCATTACTTCGTCTTCTGATCGCGTGATTCAGTTTGGACAGCTCTCTGCTCCCTGTTTCTCACGTCACGACTCGATTTATTTTTCATATAAACTTAAACCTCCAAAACAGAAACCTATTTTTCTGCAGTTACGCAATTTTTCAAGAATAAATATTGAGTCTCAGGAGAGACGCATGTTCAATTGATTTTGGCCCTTTGGTGGCAGCTTGTAACGTCGATGATAAAATATCCTTTTTAAATAATAGCATCCTGAATCTGTATAATGTTCATGCTCCGGTACATTATGTAAAAGTTAAGCGACCTCCTGCTCCCTGGATGACTAAAGGGGTACAAGTGGGAAGGCACGAGATCGGGCTTTCCAGAAGTTTAAAAAGAATCGCTCAGAAAAAAATTGGTCTAACTTTAAAACGCTAAGAAACAGATGCAATCAGGTGGTACGAAATGCTAAAACGCCGCTACATTCATGACAGAATAACTAATTCTTCGCCCACTGATTTGTGGAAATTCCTGTCTATCGGAATTAAGTAAATCTAATTCTCCGGAATATGGCGCCTCTCTCAATTTGGATGACATTAATCGTCACTTTGTTTCTATTACTTCATTGGACCCTCAAGTCCGTTCTCAAACTATTGCTTCTATAGAATCAATGCAGCCTCTCCGGATCCCTGACTTTTGTTTCTCCCCTGTTACTCAGGATGAAATTAAAAAAGCTCTGTTAGCCATTATATCCAAGGCTGTGGATTACGATGAAATTAGTAAGCAAATGGTGTCTATGATTCTTGAGTACCTTCTTCCAGCTATAACACACATTATAAATTATTCTCTGGACTCAGGTCAATACCCTTCTGCATGGAAAAAGGCTTTAGTAAGAGCTCATCCTAAAATACCTAATCCTGTTTTCCCTAACCATTTTCATCCTATTTCAATTCTCCCATACCTCTCTAAAGTTCTGGAAGCCTGTGTTTTTAAGCAAATATCTGTATTCGCTGCAAAACATAACCTGCTAAATGAATTTCAATCGGGGTTTCGCTCTGGTCACAGTACTACCACTTCGCTTATCAAAGTGACAGACAATATAAGAAAGGGCTTAGATGAGCAAAAATTAACAGTGGTGGTGCTTATTGACTTTTCAAACGCTTTCAACACAGTGGATCATGGTATCCTCCTATCCATCCTTAAACACCATTTTCGTCCCCAGCCTTGGAGTGGTTTTCTTCTTATATTCGCGGTCGCCAGCAATCGGTTAGCTCAGGTCAGCAGTTTTCTGCATGGGCTGAAATTGAAGCTGGTGTGCCGCAAGGCGGAATACTTTCTCCTATTATGTTTTCCTTATTTATAAATTCTATCTCCTCAGTTTTAGATTGTTCGTACCATCTACATGCGGATGATCCCCAGCTCTATGTACAGTCAAGCTTAAATAATCTTAACTTTGTAATACACAAACTAAATGATAACCTGGAAGCCATAAGAGAATGGTCATGTAAATATGGCGTTTCTGTTAATCCTGCCAAATGCAAAGTTATAATATTCGGAAGTTCGCAATTATTGGCCAAGGTTGATTATGGAAATCTCTCTCCTGTAATTTATAATGGAAGTTTGATTCCATATTGGGATTCCATAAAAAATCTTGGCCTGTACATGGATAAAACTATGACCTGGAAATTGCAGATTTCTGAAGTTAGTCGTAAAGTTGTTGCTACCTTGCGTTCCCTTTATCGTCTTAAAAATTTCCTACCTTTTAAAACCAAGCTTACGCTGGTTCATTCCCTTATTCTACCTATTATCGACTATGCTGATGTATGTCACCCAGATCTGTCAGAAAATCTTCTAAACAAATTGTAGCACCTTCTTAATAATTCCATAAGGTTTATTTTTGGTTTACGTAAGTATGACCACATATCATCCTATCGTTCAAAGCTTAAATGGCTACCTATACGTCATGCTCCAGAATTTTACTTGTACTTAATTCAATTTTAAACGATCCAAGGTCGCCTTCTTATCTTGAGGATAATTTTCATTTTTTTCATCCGATCGACGGTCGAACATCCCGACAGTCAAACCGTCTGAGGTTAAGGTTTCCACAGCATAAGCCAAATTTTTTTAGGTCGTCTTTTACGATACAAGCTATACAACTTTGGAACACCCTCCCCAACGATATTAAGAATGCCACAAATAAATTCACATTATTTTTCCTTAATTTTTGTCTTTCTTTTCTTCTTTTTTACTTCAAATATTTATTTCATTATATATTATTCAAACATTATATTATAAATATCATTCATTTGGATATTTATTTACGAAGTTTATAAGCATGTATATATAATATATATATGTATGTATGTATTATTGTACGTATATTTATACTATATGTGTGTATATTTAAATGTAATGTGTATGTATGTACTTTGCATATAAAAATATCACAAAACACACACCCAACAAAATCCGCCCTATGTACCCTTTAGCTTAAGGTGTTATGTGTAAGTTTTTAAATAAATAATTAAATATTACAATATGGCAGAGATATATTTACTATTATTATTACCTATGGTTTTTATATTTATTATTATTATTACTTAGTTTTCTCATCTGGTTGGTATAAATTGAATAAGTATTTATAGTATAGTATAGTATATATATATATATATATATATATATATATATATATATATATATATATATATGTATATATATATATATATATAGAAATGATAAATTGCTTGCCTATTACTACATAATAATAAAAATAATATATATATCTGATAGGCCTATATCTGTAGGTGTTTTATAATAGTCCAATTACACACTGAGAATACACTTAATTTGATTGTCTTTGCACCATTTGTGCAGTTTGTTTTTAAAAGTAACCACAGAGAGAGTATCAACTACGTCTTGAGGCAACTTGTTCCATATGTTTATGATTCAGTTGTTTAGTGTGTGAGGTCCCACATTAGTGTATGAGCGAGAATGAGCCAATCTCATACAGTTAGCATGTCTAGCTCAATGGATACTGCTGATGTTAAAGACATGTGATAGCTCTTTGCAATTGTATTTGTGGGTCAAAATTTTATGGGTCTCATCTGGTATGGCAAAATTTTAGCGTAGTTAGATTCAATATTTTTAATCTCTCTTCTTATGGCTTTTTGTGAAGAAATAATGAAATCTTTGTGGCGTTTCTTTGTTTACTCTCCAGCAAATCTACATCCTTAACAAAATAGCTCATAAAAATAACTTATCTAAAATATTTACCAAGGTTAAGACTAGGGCAAGCTGTTTTCGCTAGTCTTTTTGTCCATGGATAAATAAAACGTTCTTCAAAGTGAAGATTACATATACGATAGTTTTCATATATGAACTGGTCACTTTTTCCCTCAATGCGTGATCCTACTATCTCCTTCCATGTTTGATACCTTTCCAAATTAGGGTATGCCGGTTTTGGAAAGCGGTGTAATATATCTGAAATTATATCATATAATCATTAATTTTAATAAAAAAAATATTACCCTTAAAATTTACTTAGGAAAACTAGTAATAGTTTTAAAATGCAGTTTGCCAAATTTATACATGACAGGATAATTACAAATTTACACACATCAACAGATGTGTCTAAAAATTCCAATTTTCGATTCATATTTATAATACGACAAAACTCGCGATACCATCCATACCATCTGGATGATTGGTGGTCCACCACTAAGCGATTTAAAAAATGTTTTCTTCCTCGCACAACTTCCTTGTGGAATCGACTACCACCAGAGATTTTTCCGGACAGATTCGACTTAGGGACCTTGAATGCTATCTGTTTCATACCGCTCGCGCCGTATCGGTGTATCGTATATAGAGCTTATTCCTTTTTAACAGGCCGGCAACGAAACTGCAATCCCCCTGGTGTTGCAGCTGTTCATGGGCGGCAGTAATCACTTACCATCAGGTGAGCCGTACGCTCGTTTGCCCCCTCTAGCATTATTTATTATATATTGCAAATAGGGATCAATCAAAAGTTTTTGAAGCACCATTTTGAAATAGTTTACATTGTTCTATTTTAATAAGCATTTCCTTCTTTTAAATTATATATTTCAATTTGAAATCTGATTCAAAGAAAAACAATTGCAAGCAATATTTGTAGCCATATAAATATGATATATTTATATTGTTTGCGAATATAAATAAAAGTACCTATATTACTGTTATTTGTATATACAATCACTTACCATCAGCTATTACACAATTAAATGCAAATATGTTCAAAACAAAATTAAAGAAATTGTTAATTGAAAATGGTTTTTACAATCTCAATGAGTTTTTTAATAAAATTAATGTTAGTAAGTAGTAAATTTTAAATTTATTTTCTTTCTTGTTGCATATCCGACATGGGTAGACTGTTGAGCCTAAAATTATATGTTTTTTGTACTAAGATCATATTGTACACAGTTAACCAATAAATGTATCTCTATCTTTAAATGCTTCTTTGCTTTCCTTTACTGTATCTCTGGAGACACCAGTAACTTGATGTATCTTCGTTAAATATTTAGTGGACTGTAATTTTGGTGCATATGACAAATGAAGGATGGCACACTGAAATTGTGAGGGCTGCCTCGACTTCCTTCTGGAGTATCAGCTATACAGCGGGCCCGCCACGAGGTTCAACGCACGCGCACTCCCGGAAGTTTCGTGAAGTCCCACACTCTCGACTTTTGCACTCACGGGGGCGTCTCACACTTTTGAGAACACAATGTCTGATGCAGTGAGTATTAAACATAAACAGGAGAACTCAATGTCCATCCTGCGCTGTTTTACTGTTATATAATATCTGCGACGTGACAGCTGGTCATGCAATAGCGGAGAACGTAGAAATGTCACTTAATGACGCGCAACGAGACCTTTTATCTTCACCTCGGTGGCCGCGCGTGCGATAGGAAAAGAAAGGGGAGGAGGGAAGGGTCAACAATATACACTAATCATTTCATTACGCTGATAAATTAGATTGTTAACTGGCATTACCAGTATCTCCAAATGAAAACTCGGTACCTACAATATTCAATTGTTAGGAGATATCAATATTGATTCTTTAGAGTTGGTAACCATTTACAGTTTTATCTAGATTAATACCAGAATAAATTAGAAACAGATAACTCAATAAAAAAACATTTCTTTTTTCATATTCATTGCTTAAGTAGCGATCTGCAAAGCTGGACTTTGCATGCTGTTAAAGAAGCAGCTTTGGGTCTATATTCTTGTGATTTTACAAAAAACTCATAAACTATGCACTGAGCAATGGGGAAAGGGGTGGGTGGGGGGGGGTTTTCCTGGAGCCTCAGCCGCTACAGCTCGCAATTTGCTGCAGCTCTACAAAAACACTCCAGGGGTAGGGCAGACAAGACTATGTGGAATCTGGTTGAATTGGTGTTAGAAGAGACTCAACAAATCTTATCTATAAAATCAGGTTGCTATTAAATCTACTATGATAGTGGTAAATGAAATAATGTAATGTGAATTGTTATAATTTTGTATTCTGAATAACCTTATGACAGCTCTTCACTGCAACTCAATTTGTTGTATATGAGTCCCGTTTTCAGCCACAAATGGATTGTCTGGGTCCGAGTAATTAACTTTTTTATAGGTGTGTCCTTATTAAAACAAAAACAAATTAAAATAATTGTGTTTCATTATGTGCAATTTTTAGTAAAATTTCTTTGTATCGTAATTAATTCCAAATGCATTTACGAAATCCAAAAACAGTGTAAAAGGATCAAGCTTGACCCTGAAAACCCTCTGTAATAGACGTTAGGGTTCACTTTCATTTGTAAGAGTTTGTGCTCACAGAACGACGTGTTTACTATGTGATGATTTATTTGCAACTGATTGAACAAATTATGCTTTTAAATATTGAACCTATATACACATGCATACATATTCACACTTACGCTCGCTCTTACACTCTTAAAGATCGTTATATCCGAACACCCTCTTAAATTGAAAACAATATGCACAATCAAGTACCAAACGTCTACTTTATAATATTAGATCAAATTGACATATCGAGGGTTTACTGCAAAAACCTGCTAAATGACAATTTTTCAAAAAATTTGTTAAATACATGAAGGTACTAAGTTTTTTGAGCTCTATATGCTGGTAAAACTGGCTAAGTGATACGTTAAGCCGTTTAGAATTTATTTCATGGTAAAACCAGTTAAATCAAGCAAAATGGCCTATACTTAATAGCTAAAATAACATAAAGTTCTTTACTAATAAATTTCCATTTAATGTTATCCCGAAAAAAGTTTTAAGTGTTCTTAAATCCTTTCTCTTTTTGATAGGTTACGCAAAATGTTCTCACGAACAATCAGTAAAAAAGTACTAGAAATACATAAACGTATATAATAGAATATACTTGTTCATCATGCCATTAAAACATTACTGCAAAAACCGTCTATATAACTTTAATTGTAAATACTTGTACTAAAATATTCCATTTATCTCGGATCGTTAGCATGTAAAACCGACTAAGCGATTCTAGCTTGTTTATGCAATATACTTCGATTGAATTGTCGTCATGTGACACTATGGAAAAAAAAAATAACCGCGGTCAACACGTTTTAACAGGTTGCCGATGGCTTAGTTCGCTTCAGTGTTGCCAACTGCACCGTAATTACGGTAAAAACACCGTAATCAGCATAGATCTACCACCTACCGTAGGATTATAATTACGGTAGCAAAATACACCGTAATACCCAATGAAGATCGTATCTAAATATGATTATCTATAAACTAAAATAATTTTAGCGAGTTTGATTGTTTACTTTCTTTACGTTACAGTATTTTCCTTTTATTCTACCGACAACACTGTTTTATGCGTCGGGAAATCCCCCAATAGCGTGGTACCAGCTTGGAGATATTATGCGAACGAATTCGGGGGGTGCTGTATGTATTTGAATTTCAATGAATACTTAGAGCTTTTTAATTTTCCTAGTTTATTTGTATCATAAACGAGATACGACTAACATTTCATTAATACTTAAAATTACGTAAGAGTTTGTTGTGTTGTGTGTGATCTGAGTGTTTAAAAATATGGAGAGTGATGGCGACAGCGCTACTGATCGAGAAGATAGCTTAACACGAGTACCGGCTAAGAGAAAGCGTTATAAGCAGAAGTTTCGGGAAGAATGGTTGCTGAATAAAGAATATAGTGACTGGCTAAGAAAGGATAATAGGGACTTATCGAAGGCGGTCTGCAATGTTTGCAATACATCTTTCAGTGCCGAAATAAGTGTAATAAAACACCACAAAGAAGGAACTAAACACGTGAATAATTTAAAGAGGTGTAGTGCTTCAACGTCCAAAAAACAACAGTCTATAGTAAGCGTTTTTAAATCCATGCCAACTAATGAAAAGCAATTGGTAAAGACTTCAGAAATAAAATTAGCTGCTTTTGTTGCTGAGCATAAGGTATCTCATAATGTCATGAATCACTTAGCAGATTTGTTACCAAAGTTGTTCCCAGATTCTCAGATAGCCAAAGATATTAGATTAAAAAGAACTAAAGTTCAAGCTGTGATAAATAACTGTATTGGGGAAACTGAAAAAGAAAACTTGATCAGTGACTTGAAATCACAAATGTTTTCAATTTTGATAGACGAAAGCACAGATATTGCTGTAGTAAAAACAGTAGCTGTAGTGGTCAGGTATTTTGATCCAATGATTGGTAAAGTTATCACTCGGTTTTGGAATTTGATTCAATTATTTGATGAGAAAACCACCGATCATGTTGCAAATGCCGAAAAACTTTTTAATACTGTTATAGGTTCATTTCAAAAGTATGAGATTCCTACGGAAAACATCATAGGTTTCGGCTCTGATGGATGCAACACAATGATGGGATGTAACAATTCAGTTTCAAGTCGATTTCGTCAACGTTGTCCAGGCATAATTGTGATCAAATGCATTTGCCATTCTCTGCATCTTTGCGCTAGTGACGCATGTAAAGAGCTTCCACTAAATTGTGAAAAAATGGCGCGAAATATTTATAATTATTTTAAATCCAGTAGTAAAAGGCAGAGTGAGTTGAAAGAGTTCCAGTATTTTGCTGAGGCGGATGTGCACAAAATTCTAAGACCAGCCCAGACTAGATGGTTGTCTTTAAATGCAGTAGTGCAAAGGATTCTGGAACAATGGGATGTATTACGTCTTTATTTCAATAGCAAATGGCTGGAAGAATCGGAGTGCCACGATATTCATGCATGCCTGAATGATCCCATAATCAAGGCTTATTACTATTTTTTGGCTTGGATGTTGCCAAAATTTACAACATTAAATAGCTGTTTTCAGAGCGAATCTATTTTAATTACGAAACTACATGGGAAAATGACAGCTTTTTATAAAGAACTGTTACTATTGGTTTTACACAGAAATTATGTAAATTCCGCTCCTATTGAAACTATAGATCCAATGACAGAAATAAATCACAAGGACCTAAAAGACATATATCTAGGTTTAGGTGTCCAGAAAGAACTAGATTCTGTTGAAAATGAAGAAAGAAAGTTAACTCTCAGAAAGATGTGTAAAAATTTTATTATTAGAGCTTGTGTGGGCCTTCGTAAACGATACTGTTTTAATGACAAAATTATGACAGAAATAGCAAAATTTGATCTAGAGAAAGTAATTTCTGATGACAGGGAAGAGTCAGTTTCGTCGTTATTTCCATTACTGCCCAGAATTGCCCCAACTTCAATCCAACATCAACAAGAACTAGATGATGAGTGGCGGAAGTTGCCGTTATACTACAAAGATTTGGATTTAAGTCAACCCCCTGACGTATTTTGGCACCAGGTAAGTTTCCATGTAAACTCGAAGCAACGTGAATTCATATTGGTTTCTATTGTTATAGCAGCCTAATCATTTTTTTTTTCAGGTCGCAGAACTGCGTGACCAACATCGAGAAGGGAATACCTATTTCCAACACTTGCCAAAATTTATGTTGGCCATTTTGTCTCTGCCACACTCGAATGCTGAGTGCGAAAGAGTCTTCAGCAGAGTTAACGATATAAAAACAAAAAAACGGAATAAACTCCTAACGAAATCCATCAAGGGAAATCTCTTATCGCAAGCCATACAGCGTCACGGAAAAAACTGTGTTGATTTTAATCCCACTCACGCTATGATCGCAAAACATAACAATGATATGTATAAAAATATTGAAACAATTATACTGTCCGATTCTGATTAAAAATATGTTTTTTTTTTAACTCTGACCCATAACATGCTACTAAATAAACAAGGTAATTCTACCGTATTTCAAATATATATTACAACATAATTTCGAAAATTCTACCGTATTTTTAGAAGAATTCTACCGTCCGCTAGATTTCAGACTTGGCAACACTGGTTCGCTTGGAGTGTTTACCGCGAAAAGACCGTGAATGTATCGGGCGTAGTATTTAAATTTAGTTTTTAGTAATTGTAAGTGTTGTGACAGATTATATTTGTTAAGATGATGTCAAGAGGAAAAAAACTAGTATCTTTAGTGGCCGTAAATTGTGAAAAGGTTTCTGGTAAGTTAAATTTCGAGGTTGTGTTTTCTAACAAAGTTTTATTACAATTTCTGTTCATTTTTTCTTATAGAGTTGTTTATTTTTTAGAAAATGAACAAAGTTCACATGCAGGCCTGGTAGATATTCAAGAAATTCAATCTACATCTTATAACAACGCGGATGCTATAGACTTTCATCATTCACAAATTCATGGTAAAATATTAAGTACTTAATTTATAATAGTACATACTACTATAGACTATTATATTATCACTCGCGTTTGAGATCGATAAAGACGACTTTTTTACATACTTTCTAGTATTCAAATAAACATGGATGGCTTGTGTCAAGGTTTATAAAAATGACAAGTCAAATGCCAACATTAAACGTTTAATTAAACGTTTAATTAAACGTTTAAAAAAAGAATAAGATCCAATACTAATCAAAATGCTTAAACTTTATACTGTATTTTTAGATGGTCCGGGTAACGAAACGTTCTTCAATACTCTCATTAAATCTACGGCATGCTGTTTTAAATACCAAAAAGGTAAAAATACTATCTTTTTCTTAATAAAGTACATGCAAAATTTATAATTTAAGACCTCTTAATCTGAATCTTAACTTAGCATTTGTGTCTCTTTTAGGCGAAGATTCTGATGATAATGTTGAAACAGAATTGGAAAGTTTATTTGGAGATGTTTCCGATGCTGACGACCCAACTTATCGCCTGCCAATTTTCTCTCACCAACTGGAAAACGAAAATTCCAACAATCTTGTAACATTAGAAGATTTACTAGGAAACAAAGAAAATTTTAATGCTGAAAAGTTTGATGTCGAGCACATACAGAACAATATTGAAGTTTTTGACCAAGGTTATGAACAACATCGCGAAATTACAGCTATAATTGAAGATATTTTAGATGAGGTTTTTAAAAAAGCTTGGTTGCTTATTGAACCGTTAAAAAGATGGCGAAAATCAGACCCAAGCAGTTGGGTTCGTAATGTAGTTAAGAAAAGACGAGCAGATGGTTTGCCTTATAAATCCAAAGCTAACATCAGACCAGCTAAGGTACCAAAAGAGATAGATTGCTCCAAGTGTCAATTTAAATGTACTGATGTCTTTGATACTACTGATAGAGATAAGTTTTGTAGATTCTTTTGGAACTTAGATTTTCTGGGCAGAAAGAATTTTATTTTAGCCAATGTTACCATTCAAATGCCAAAAAGAGTTCTCTGTGCGTAATCGACGTCGTCCAGAAAAAAAATATACAAAGAAGTGTTTCTTTACTAAACAAAATTTAAAAAAACAGGTATGTCAGAAATTTTTTTGTAATACTTTTAAGTATTTCTCCTGCAGTAATAACTGATGCAATCAATAAACGGAATGACATGAACTGTTTTGATGTAAATGACCAAAGAGGTGCACACGAACCAGTTAATAAAAAGAAACCTGACATTATCCAAGGAATAAAAAAACACATCGAATCATTTCCTTGTATGGAAGCCCATTATAGTAGAAAAGACACCAAACGTAGGTATTTAGATAAAAATCTTAATATTCGAAGGATGTATTTATTGTACAAAGATGAGTGTTTAAAAAATGGTTCTGAGCCAGCTTCTGAAATAACATACCGTAGAATATTTTCAAAAGAGTATAATCTGAGTTTTTTCGTGCCCAGGAAAGATCAATGCTTAATATGCACTAATTATGCTAAAGCAGATACAGAGAAAAAAAGAGAACTTGAAGATGACTACCTAGCTCACCAAGAAAGAAAGAAAATTTGCAATCGAGAAAAAGAGAAGGATAAAGTTAGATCAAACACAGATGAGCATTTTAGCTCTGTAACATTTGATTTGCAAGCAGTACTTCAAATACCTGCCAGCGACGTAGGTCTGCTCTATTATTCAAGAAAGTTGTGTGTATACAACCTCACCATCCACGAAGCAACCCTACCTAATAATGCTTTTTGTTTTACATGGTCAGAGGTAAATGGAAGGAAAGGCAGTTCTGAAATTGGAACCATATTATTACACTACCTTTTAAATTGTGTCTGTGATAATGTTACAGAAATTAGCTTATTTTCAGACACTTGTGGTGGCCAAAACCGAAACCAATTTGTGGCTGCTTTGCTTCTTTGGGCAGTCCAAAAAATTGACCACCTTAAAGTCATAGAACAAAAGTTTTTAGAATCTGGGCACACGCAAATGGAAGCAGATTCTATGCACTCAAAAAATATCTATTCAAAAAATACCTCTGTTTTTTCCATGATGGAATGGATTTCTATTTTCAAACGTGCTAGACACAGGCAAAGTATTAAAATTGATGGTAAGAAAATGACAAGAGAAGCATACCATGTAAAAGAATTTAAGTATGATGAGTTCCTTGACCTGAAGCACCTTGCAGGTGAGATTATGAAAAATAGAACGAAAGATGAGAAAGGAAAACAAGTTCAATGGTTGAAAATAAAGCGGATAAAATATCTTAAAGGGGAGGACAGAAAAATTTATTTCAACTATGACATGAGCGACAAATTTAACGTAATGGATATTGGAGACAATCCATCAACTTTCCAATTAGATGGGCGCGCAGAATCACAACTATTCAACAAGGAAGAAGAAACGACTTACTGAAAATGATTTACCTGTAAGTTATCGATTTCCAGATCAATTAAACTGCCTTTATAAAGAGCCACTTAAAATAAGCGCGGCCAAGAAAAAAAGATCTTTTAAATCTATGTAGGAAAGGCATCATACCAGAGGAAGTTCACGGTTGGTTTGAAAATTTAAATGTTGACAGTCAAGCTATTGATAAATTGCCAGAACCAGCAGTAGATGAAACTGTAAGTGGAGAAGAAGAGTGATTTCTTAATAATTAAGATATTTATTAAATTTAATGAAAATACTATAGTAGTTACACTCTTCTTCTCCACTTTCAAACTGATTCTATTATAATTTTTATTAGTCAATAAAAATAATATTGTGAATTTAACCTCTTATTTTACAACACTTTTATCCTAAAAGTTAAAAAACATTTAGAGGTAAAACCAACTAACTTTTTTCTTTCATAGCTTACACAATAAATTATTTCTTTTATGATTGCATCAGTATTTAAAACGTAGTTATTTATTATCAGCTACTCATCATTAATCACAAACCATATAAAACATCAATTATCTCGGTAAAACTGCATTTTAGCAATTGACATGTAAAACCGACTAACTGCACGCCTTTACTTGAAAAAATCCTTATTTCAAGATTTCTGTCACACATATTTATTCAGACTTCACATAAACATAATCTTATATAAATATTCTAACATATGACTACTAATGTATGTAAGACCTACCAAAATTTTAGTGATTAAATTAGGTGTAAACTTTTAGAACTCTTTAACTCAAAACTAACTTCGCTGAACTTAGCTGGTTTTTGCAGTAAACCCTCGATATTTGCATTACATATAAGCAATTATTAGTGAAATTTATTCATATTGTAATTAATTCAAAATGCATTTCCGACATCTTAACTAGAGTAATAGCTCAAGCTTAACTCTAACAAGCCTCCCTAACAAAAACATTATTAAATTCAAGTACTGGACTTCTGTAACCAACCCAGGGATAGAAAGAGTGCATCTGTGCTTGTGCATACACTTGGACACTGTAATCTTGTACTGCGCTGATGGCTAGTCTCCGTTGAGGCTGACCGCCGTGACCCAAATTTTGTCAGAACATTACTTTTATTACAAATTACAGAACACTACATGAAACATAGAATTTGTTTTACTCTGATATTCTGTAAGACTGATCCTCACTGATAAAACGAACCTATTCTTAAGGTACAAGTGACTTTGCACTCTTGTAAACCTCGTTTTTTACATAAAATATACAGCGCTCACGTGGGTCACAATAACAGCGCTCACAATAAAACAATAAATGTCAGAAAAATAAGCGGATCCTATGCACTTACCAAACTGTTTACATCCAAAAACACATTCCGATCTGACGCCCATACCTTTTTATATTATACAACAGAAGTTGTCACAGTTACAGCCGTAGACCATAATTATTAAACAACAAAAGTTTGTAAACCATTACGTTTAATAGCCAAGAGTTGGTAATTTCGCGTAGGTACATGCAAAGCACTTTGTGGTAACTTAAAATGAATGCTAACGAAGTGATTTTATCAGATTTCAGTTTCACTACTATTAAATTAATCTGTGTTCTTGTTCTGTGAATTTCGCACACAAGCAAATATATTATGTTTCAAACTTTTATGTAGGTATTTAAACTTTTATTTATAATGTGATTTATAATTTATATCCACAGAACACTAATACCCTTAGGCGGGTTTTCTAACTTCCTCTATGTTTATATCATTGCAGTTGCGCTGTACGATATATTACTTTCCTCTATGAGTTGCACTAATTAGGGATGTTCGATGGTCATCGATGTTAAAAATTAAAACATCGATGTTGTCACATGTCGTACATCGAAACATCGATGACATTGAACCAAAAATCGATTAATAAGAACTTTTGAACAGTGCGAACCCGCGAAAACAATATCAACTAAATATTTCTTCTTCTGTTTAAGGTTTTAAAATTTTTAATAACTCAGGTTTCGTTTTTTTCAACTCAACTTTACGTTTGCACCGAAAAACATCCAACGCGTAATGTTTGAAACAAATCGCAAAAAATAAATTACACAACATGTTTTGTTGATGGTCGCGTACGCGCTCACCAAAACAGTGTAAAATTTTTAACACATATTAATATTTGCTGTTATCTGCGTTCACATTGAATACAACATTTTATTTATCTATAAATCTGTCAACGTTAGCGTTCTTACCATGAGAACGTGAGAACGATCACTACGTACTAAAGCATAGCCAGCCTGTCCTTGAAAATTGTAGAATTTATAGTAGCGCTGACGTCGGTGAGCAGTGACTGCGAAGTTAGCTGTTTATGAGTACAAGTAGATGAAGATAGTTGAATAATGTAAAAATTTTCTCCGCAGCATTTTTGAGAAAATTTTCATGCTCCGTAAATTTTGCAATTTTTGACAAAAAGAAACATTAAAAAATAGAGAAATATTTTATTGTGCGTGGATGTGCAAGTGGTTTAGTATCTGATCGGGAAAATAGACTAAAAATGACTTTTATTGACCGAACTTAACGATCGCAGCGCCTCACTGATGGTGTCCATACACAATTTTCTACGGAAATCGTTCTACTGTTCTCTAATATCCGTGGTTCATACCGTTTAATATAGTTAAAATACTACGACATGTTCTTTGACTATGCAAACCCAATTCGATACATTATCGGAAAACAGTGTTTTAAACATGTTTTTTTTTGTGAAAATCTCGAATCGCTTAGATCGGACCAAAGACAATAATTAAAAAGCTGAAGGTACTCCGGGTTAATTTTGACATCGGGACGTCAGTCACCTCAGTCCCCCGTGACCATGGGTGCTGGAAAGCACTCGAAACGTCGGGTATTAAAATTAATATAAATAAAACGCGATAAAATCCGTAAAAGTAGTTCACCTAAACCTAACGCTCCATTACGTCCAATAGTGAGTCAAATCGATTCGCCAACGTACAGATTGGTTCAACACTTAGCCAAAATATTATCACCACTCAGAGGACACACAAGAGCACATACTACGGATTCATACCATTTTGTCAGTGAGATAAAAGACCTACGTCTTGCTGACAATGAAACCATGGTCAGTTTTGATGTTCAGTCTCTTTTTACATGCCTACCTGTTGAAGACTGCATCTATATATATATATATATATATATATATATATATATATATATATATATATATATATATATATATATATATATATATATATATATATATATATATCATTATAACTAGGAAACTAGAGGAAAATAACATGCCACCAGAATATGCAGTACTACTAAGACATTGCCTTACATCTGGCTATCTATTGTGGAAGGAAGAGTTTTACAAGCAAGTAGATGGTGTTGCGATGGGCTCACCTGTATCTCCCATTGTCGCCGATATATTCATGGAAGACTTTGAGGAGAAAGTCCTCCTTACTGCACCTGTTACCCCAAGGTTCTACAAGCGGTACGTAGACGATACTTTCACAATTTTACCATCAGACAAAATAACTGCATTTTTAGAACATCTTAATTCCATAAACCCTAAAATTCAATTTACTATGGAGTTAGAGGCAAATAATTCCTTAGCTTTCCTAGATGTGTTAGTCATCCGAAATCCTAACAACACCATAGGTCATACTGTGTATAGAAAAAAGACCCATACAAACCGATACTTAAATAGTGAATCTCACCATCATCCTTCACAGTTAGCTACCGTGGGCAAATCTTGTTTCAGAGAGCACGAGGGATCTGTGACAGCAAACACCTGGCCACCGAGCTTCAGCACGTCAAGCAGGTTCTGCACGACAACAAGCTTCGGGTCCCGCGCCTACGTCACAGTGACCGAGTGAAGCCGGCCACAGTCGAGCGTGTGCCTGCTGTACTACCATATGTCAGAGGTGTCACAGACAAGATTGGCTATATCTTGAAGCGAGCTTCTATTAGAACATTCTACAAGCCGCCGAAGAAGATTAGTCAGTTCCTACCATCCGTCAAGTGTCATATTCCTCTACAAGATGCAGGAGTGTACAAGCTTGATTGTGATTGTGGTCTCTCATATATAGGGCAAACAAAGAGATCAATTAGAACCCGCGTAAAAGAACACATAGCTGACGTGAAGCATCAACGTTCCGGGAAGTCTGCAGTTTGCGATCATATTCTAGATGGCCCCAACCATTACATCAGATTTGATAGACCACAAATCCTCGCGAAAGAACATCGATTTCTACCAAGGATGATACGTGAGGCTATTGAAATTAAAAAACATCCTAATTTCAATAGAGAAGGAGGCTGGGTACTACCACCTGCTTGGGATCCTATAATTAATAAAATTAAAACCAAACCCAAGCATACCACTGCAAGACTTCAAAATACAGTTAGTTCATTCCGCGTAGATCGGACCAAAAACAATAATTAAAAAGCTGAAGGTACTCCGGGTTAACTTTGACATCGGGACGTCAGTCACCTCAGTCCCCCGTGACCATGGGTGCTGGAAAGCACCCGAAACATCGGGTATTAAAATTAATATAAATAAAACGCGATAAAATCCGTAAAAGTAGTTTTAATCAATTGTGAAAATCTCCTCAGTGCAAATTCACGGTTAGAATAGTATTCTATATAAATTGATACCCAGGTTAATTGTTTTTCCCTTGCTTTCTTGTATAATATATCTACACAATTCAATTATATTTAGCTGTTTTTTGAGCTTAGGTTATCGAGTTTATTGTTTGCTTGAAGTTTATGAAAATAAATCACTGCGTGACCGTGAGCATAGACAATTAAAACGCATAGTCGAATTGCAAATGCAGTGAGCATGGTGCATTCGACTATGCGTTTTATAAACGCCACGTATTATAAACGCCGTTTACAAAACGCATAGTCGAATAATACTAACAGCTTGGGCTGCCTGATTATAAATTGTGAACAAAGCTGTACGGAAAAGTCTATTATTTTGTTATTGTAAAGCTTAATAATTTTTTTTCTATAATCATATTTTTTATTTCGTGATAGGAGTTGTTTAGTGATCGTAAATTAGGTCCCATAGTAATTTTTTCATACCAAATTTATGAGTGAACAGGAACATTTAAAGATCAAAATAATAACATTCATCATCATCAGCAAAAAAATATAACAAATGAACTGGATATTTGTTAACTTTTTCCCGTATTTTTAATTACTGTTTGACACAAACTTTTTTATTAATTTCTTTTATTTCATTATTGATAAACCATAAACAACACTACAATTTTTTTATTCATTTAATTTTAACCTAATAAATAGATAATACATATGCAATAACATCGATATTTTCAGTAGGATAAACATCGAACATCGATGTTAAGCTATCGATACCAACGTCGATGTCGTCATCGATGTTTCTGCAACATAGATCACTCTGTTCTCTAACCTCCATGAGTCCAGTCCATGACTCTACCGTATGGAGTGTAGAAGTTAGGAGTACAGACTGTGTATTTAAAAGTGCCCATAGAAAATCGTTAAAAAAGGGTAGAGCCACTATAACTACGGAGTAAATTTTAAAGAACGCACCGAAAAATATTAGTGGGATAGACGACTTTTTCGGGGTTATATTTACTATATAAAATTATTTTAGATTTTAGAGCTACTGAGCAGTTTAGCACACTATTTGAGCACACTTAAACTGTCGACAACTGCTAAGTTCATTTCATCCCAGTAGCTACTCCAGCGATGTTGTGGAGAGTTTTTGAGATGTTATTTACTGCTTAGAGTTGGCCACTTTTTCAACTATTCTACTATGGGAGTTGGTACTCCTTGCTTCTACACCCCATAAACATGTGGCTCTTTTACGTAAATAACTACAATTATGAGTTGTGACTTTTTACGATAAGTTTCTTTTCAATTATCTATGGAAAAAGGACACATTTTATACTTATGGCTGTATACTACTATTTATATTTATAAAGTTTGAGTTCAATTCAAATTTGGGTCAGTATATAAATCTTAATTATGATTTTTAAGTACTCATTATTAACCCTAGACTAGATCACTAACCTTCGTCAAAACGACGACGCGGGCTCAAAAAAGTGGTATAAATTTTGCGTGCGTCGTCGTACGCATTCCAGATTCTGGCTAATCTCTGTTTGTGCCGTTCCAGCCACCATGAGTCGTCGAATCGACGAAGGTTCGTAATAACGTTATTCTTGCAAAGTTATTTTTTGGTGTTATAATTATTTTGGTGTTTTGTAAACTTTGTACTTAATTTGCCTACATTGAAATAAGAACTTACATTATTTTTATTTAAATATATTTTTATTTTAGATAGGGTTCGTCAGCTGTTATTAGATGATAATAGTGACGTAGAAAACTGCTCTGAGAGTGAGATAAAAGACCACCTTGAGGCTGATCCGGCTTATGAAACAGATGGTGAGGAAGAGATTTTTTCTGTGACAGAACAACCACCTTCAACTGTAGACATCGAGGCAAGTACATCTTCATCAATTGAAGACCCGTTACCTAGTACTTCAGGTCAGCCACACGAATTAATTATTACACCAACAAGTCATATTCTTCGCGGAAAAAACAAACACAAATGGTCATCAGTGAAACCAAGTTCACGAAGCCGAAAATACTTAAGAAATATTGTTCATATTAGGCGTAATTGTAAAAACGAACTAGATCCGCTTTCTTGCTCTGTATTTTTTATAACTGATAGTATGATTGATTTAATTGTAATCCACACTAATGCCGAGATAGCAATAAAATGCATTTAATACAAGGATGTAAAAGCTACCCATAGACAGACTGATTCCAGTGAAATAAGAGATCTGATCGGGATCCTTACGTTATCTGTAGCAATGAAGGATAATCATTTACCATCCAGGGTGCTTTTTGATGTTACCTTTTGTGGCAATTGATACCGAAGTACTATGTCTAATGAAAGATTTGATTTTCTTATAAACTGCCTCAGGTTTGACGATAAGTCTACGTGCGAACAGCGATGATTGAACGATGTATGCCCCTTTTCGAGATCTGTGGGATCTTTTTACAACTGCATGTCAGGAGAACTATAAACTTAGTTGCTATCTTACAATTGATGAACAGTTATTGGGTTTCAGAGGCAGATGCCCTTTTGGAATTTACATTCCTAATAAACCAAACAATATGGTGTGAAAATTGTAATGTTGGTAGATAATTCTACAAAGTATATGGTGAATGCCGAGCCCTGTCTAGGTTCTTTTACTAAAACTGATAGATTGTCACTTGGTGAATATTTTCTCAAAAAATTGACACGGATGGTGCGCGGCACAAATAGAAATATAGCCATGGACAACTGGTTCACTTCGGTACCACTAGCCAAAAGTTTAGTACAAGAAATAAGTTGACTTTGGTTGGGACTCTACGTGCTAACAAAAGGGTGACCGTTACAATTACTGCACGAGGGTACCCGGAAGACAGGAACAGCTATTTTCTGTTATGACAAGGAACTGACATTGTTTTCATTCAAGCCAACCCCCAAAAGACAATATTCCTATTGTCGACTTGTGATGAGGAAGGGACAATTGATGGGTTGACCAAAAAACCCACGATGGTCGAGTTTTACAATCAAACTAAGGGTGGAGTAGACCTTGGACCATATGTGTTCTCTCGCTTTTTGCAGTTGAAAAACTCGACGTAGACCTTTATGTAATTTTTACGGGATGCTAAACATTGCATTTATAAATAGTTATGTTAAATATGTAACCAACAGTTTGGAGGCTAATAAAAAACCTTTATCGAGGCGTGAGAACTTGAAAACTGCATCAAAAATTATTCGAGACACACATGCAAAAAAGATTACAAATTTCGACATTTCAAACGGGGCTGCGGGACTCAATAACAGCGATTTTGAATATGCCAGGAATCAGTAATTCTACTTCTACACATGAAACTGATCAAAGAGAAAATGCAGTTATAGTTCATAAAAGATAGCTTGATCTCTGCGACAGCTGTCAGTAAAATCACGCCTATGAAGTCCTGAATTTCTTAGTAGTACAGACAGACAGTACCTGTCAATGTCATACTTTATGGGCATGCCGACCTAATTAGTGCATGCCCATAAAGTATGACATTGACAGGTACTGTCTGGTACTACTAAGAAATTCAGGACTTTATAGGCGTGATTTTTACTGACAGCTGTCGCAGAGATCAAGCTATCTTTTATGAACCATAGTCTTCCTATCGCCAAAAAAATGTGCAATATGCCCCTCTGCAAAGCGAAGAATGACAAAGAGTTGTTGCACCAATGTTTTTGTTGTTTCTTTCTTTTGTTGATTTTAATACTTAATTTTAATTTTTTTGTCTTTAATTTTTTTTAATTAATATGAGTTAAGCATTTAAAAAACAAAAATGTTCAAATGAGTAAAATCTCTGGTATCAATTAAAACATTGTCAAAGTAACTAAAATGTGATTTAAGTAATTAAAAAACTAATAAACATGTTAAAAAATGACTATTGTAATAAATAAGTAAAATACATATAAATATTTTATTCCATAAACAGCAAACACAGCAAAAACCAAATTCGTTACTTTTTCAATCTCTACAATATCACAACTTAAAATTCCAGTAAAATTAATTGCCCACTCATGTCATTACCAATACCAACAAGCTTGCTACTGTCCCGTTGTTAATTCGGTCGAAACAATCAAATATCTTGGCATAACTTTAAATAAAACCCTAAATTTTAAAGCCCACATTGAAGATTTAACCAGCAGAGGCCGTAAATTAATCTTTATTTTCAAATCACTTAGTCACGTCACTAATCAGAGTATTATACGCAACGTTTATTTTGCACTTTGCCTTTCTATCATATCTTACTGCATTTCATGTTGGGGTGGTGCCGCCAAAACTATCTTGAAACCTTTAGAAATCGCACACAAATCAATTTTAAAGATTATTGCCTTTCGACCCATATTATATCCGACAATTCAGCTCTACAAAGATCACAACGTTCTTAATGTAAGACAATTGTTTATACTACATACAGTGATGTTACAACATCGTAAGGTTCCATATATCGAAATTACCAAGAGGCGTAAGGATAAAATCTGCAGTATTCCGATAGTCTACTCTCATTTTGCTAAAAGGTTTTTCTCATATGTTGGTTCCTTTCTTTATCATAAAATCAATTTTAATATTTCTATTTATGAACTACTTACAAAAGTAAGAAAGCCGTGTACTCCTTCCTACTAAACAAGAGTTATGAAGAGACAGAACAGTACTTATTAACTAACTAATTTATATTATATTAATATAATTATATTATGAGGTCACACACACACACACACACACACACACACACACACACACACACACACACAAGCACACACACACACGCACGCACGCACGCACGCACGCACGCACGCACGCACGCACGCACGCACGCACGCACGCACGCACACACACGCACACGCACACGCACACGCACACGCTCACGCTCACGCAAAACGCACACACACACGCACACGTACACACAAAATCTGTAGTACTAAAAAGTTAAGCAATTTTTGCTTTCCGATCACTTTTGTAAGGGGGTAAGGGACTGAATCTCCTTACAGGCAATTTATTAGTTTAGCAAGGAGAACAGAACGTCACCCTCACTAGTATTTTTGTAATGTATCTCATGTAAGATTTATTTTTTATATGTACTACAAGTTAAAGTTTTAATAAATTATTATTATTATTATTGGGGGGTATCAATATAGTTTTCTCATCTGGTTGGGTTCTATAAATATATAATTATAAATGGATATGAAAAGATAAATATACATAAATATCAAATAAAATTAAATAAATTTAAAAATACATAAATAAATAAAAGCCCAACCAGATGGAGGCCCTCGGCAGGGGAGACCAAACGGCCGAGGGTTAGGGGGAAATGGAAACCGGCGGACGATGCGGGCGGTATCGAGAAGCACCGCCTTCTGCATTTGAGCCTGGAGCGGTCCGCCACGTAGTCCCAGCCGCCTCAGATGACACGAAAGGCTGACTGGGCTAAGCCCGTTTGCAGAGACGACTACAGGAATAATTTCGGTCGGCAGACCACCCCACATGTCGGTCACCTCGTGAGCCAGGTCCAGATATTTTGTTTGCTTGTCTGTTTTGGCTTTCACGAGGTTCTCGTCATACGGAATGGTAATGTCGACCAAAAATATCCTTGACTGTGCCCGGTCCATCAGCACAATATCAGGCTTATTCGCAAGAATAGTCCTGTCTGTGATGATGGCCCGGTCCCAATAGAGCCTGGCGCGATCATTTTCGAGCACGGCTTCCGGCAAGTACTTGTAATACGGCAACTTCCGATCCACGAGACCGTATTTCAGAGCGAGCTCCTGGTGAAGAATTCTGGCTACTAGGTTGTGTCTGTGCAAGTACTCAGAGTTAGAAAGCGCCGAACAACCGGAGATGACATGCCTAAGTGACTCACTGGTATGGCGACAAGCTCGACAGATGTCGACGGTGCCATCCTTTAGGATGTATCTTCGATAGTTGTTGGTCTTAATAACCTGATCCTGTATTGCACAGACAAAACCCTCGGTTTCCCCGAAGAGGTCACCAAAGCGTAGCCAGTGGAGAGAGGCTACTGCGTCTACGAAAGGTTTATGTAGAGCCTTGTAGAACCTCCCGTGGATCTCCTTCTCCTTCCATACGGTCTTCCGGTCGGAAATGCTCTGCACTGCTGGGTCTTGGCATTGCTCGTTGGCTAAGGATAGAGGGGTAAGTCCTTTATCATAAGAAATGACGTTATAGACCTTATAGAATGGATCATCCGATCTCGCTAGGAAGTAATTACGGAGGCTGCACACTTCGCGATTATGCATGGTGAGCGCGCTCAAGAAGCCACGCCTAGCATGTTTTCGCGGCAAGTACAGCCTCATTACCGACAATCTCGGATGTTGCATCCTATGGGACGTCATGGTAGTGCGGACTTTTCTGTCCAGGGCGTTAAGTTCAGTCTGAGTCCACCTGAGCATGCCAAAGGTATACATGAGGATAGGCATGACCCAACCGTTATATGCGTGTGTCTTATTCACACCGGACAAAAGGCTGTTAAGCACTTTGGTCAAGCGTGCATAAAACACGTCGCAAACTGACTGTTTCATACCAGCCTCATCGGTACCGACGTTCTGTGATATACCCAGGTATCGGTATGTTTCAGCCTCGGAAAGGGTCCTTAAGTTGACGGGCATAGATAAATCTAAGCCCTCAGAGTTAGCAACCCTTCCCCTTTCAACATGGAGGACCGCACACTTATCCGTCCCAAGCTCCATTCCAATGGAATTGCTAAATTATATATAGAAAATGTGGGTCACTTTTGTCCCTCCTTTCCGTAGCTGAAATCCCCTCCCGGAGCCCTCCAGTAAGGTACTGAGAGGGTTCAGAGAGAGGCAGAACCAGATTGGACTCAGACAATCGCCCTGGAAGATACCCCTTCTTATCCTTATGTGGTTCTCCGCAGCCATCATCCGCTCGCCCAGATGACAAAGGATCGTACTCCACTGCCCCATACACCGCTCGAGGAAGTCTCTAACTGTACAGTCTATCTTGTACAGCTCGAGGACTCCCTTTAGCCATGTATGGGGCACCGAGTCGAATGCCTTTCTGTAGTCTATCCAGGCGGCGGAGAAGTTCCGACGGTTGCGTTTCACCACTTTGCCAATGACCGCGTCAATGAGGAGTGGTTCCTTGGTTCCACGACCACCGCCCCGACATCCATTTTGAGCGCGCGACATCACCTGATTTGAGTCCAGGTGACAAGTGATTCTCGCGCTCAAAATGGATGTTAGTGTCTTGTATATGGTCGGTAGACACGTGATGGGGCGGTATTTGCTCGGGTCTGTGGTACCCTGGTCTTTAGGAACCAAATGAGTGATCCCAGTAGTGAAGAGGCTTGGGAGCGACTTCTGGTTGAGAGCCTCTTGAAACTGTCGGGCGAGCACAGAGTGACACACCATGAACCTCTTCAGCCAGTAGTGATGCAGCCCGTCAAGCCCCGGACTTTTCCAGTTCGGGGCCCTACGGACCGCCTCAGCTACGTCATCCGGCGTTATGATGACGGGGTCCATGGGCGCAATACCCGCACACTGACTCGCCACAACTTCCGTCCAAAGGCCCTCGCTGTGGTTTACGGGCTCTGACCACAGGCCGCGCCAGAATGCTACAGTGTCGGCCTGATTCGGTGCTGGACCCGTTCCACTTACCATTGGTCGCTCCAATGATTCATAGAGCCTCTTCTGATCACTCTGGAAGGGACGATTCTGGTTGAACCGTGCACAATTCTTGGCCTGTTGTTGCCTGATCTGAAGCATATCAGTCTGCCGATGAGAGCTCTAGCCTTTGCGATACGTTCCTCAATTCTTCTTCTCCATGCTGGGATAGCGCTACTATGGCCAGTAGCGCGTCCAGCCGTGGAAACCTTGGCGCCTATGATACGGCAGACTGCCAGCGCGGCGCCAAAAAGAATTGAGTCCGTCTCGCAAAGGTCCCGGCTGGCTTCCAAATAGGTCACCAGCATTGGGTTCAGAGCCCTCACGACAGCCCGATTCCGCTTGCTTAGGGCTATGCGGGGAAGTCGCGGTCGATTTTCGAGAGGCGTTTTTTTTTATAGAAGAGGGAGCAAACGAGCATGCGGCTCACCTGATGTTAAGTGACTACCGCCGCCCATGATCAACCGCAACACCAGGAGAATTGCGGGTGCGTTGCCGGCCCTTTAGAAAGGAGTAAGCTCTTTTCTTGAAGGTCCCCCGGTCGTATCGGTCCGGAAAAATCGCCGGTGGTAAACTATTCCACAGAGAGGTTGTACGTGGAAGAAAACTCCTTGTGAAACGTACAGTGGTGGACCGCCAAGCATCCAGATGGTGTGGATGGTATCGGGACATTCGACGTGTAGTGCGTTCACGAAATTTGGCGGCTGGGATTAATCCGAACAATTCCTCAGAGCACTCCCCGTGATAGATGCGATAAAATACGCAAAGAGATGCAACATCTCTTCGCAGCGCCAGTGAATCGAGCCGATCGGAAAGCACTCGGTCGTCGACGATTCGAGCCGCTCTGCGCTGGATGCGGTCAAGTGGAAGAAGCTGGTACTGGGGAGCCCCAGCCCAGAGATGGGAACAGTATTCCATGTGCGGCCGAACCTGCGCCTTGTAAAGTTGCAGGCGGTGTGCCGGCATGAAATACTGTCCCGCTCTGCTGAGCAGGCCACGCTTTTTAGAGGCCTATTTGGCCTTCCCTTCCAAGTGACCACGAAACTGCACGTTACTCGATATGTCGACGCCGAGGATTCCGATACTGGCTGAGGCAACAAGGGGAGTGCCTTGAAACTGAGGGGATACGACAAAGGGGTTCTTTTTAGCGGTTAACGCGCAAACTTGTGTCTTCTGGGTGTTAAACTGGACTAGATTTAGTCGTCCCCAATCCGAGATTCTGTCCAGCAGAGACTCGACTTCAGACACAAGTTTGTCCCGGCACTCGGAGACGTTTTCCCGAGAAATATTGGCTCGGCCGGTGTAAAGAGCATCAACAGTACTGTCATCTGCATAGCAATGAATGTTACGGGTATGCAACATGTCATTGATATGCAGAAGAAACAGCGTTGGCGATAGCACGCAGCCCTGTGGAACACCAGCATTAATAGGCTTGCAATCGGAGCTTGCACCGTCTACAACGACCTTGATGCTCCGATCTGCAAGAAAGCTGGTGATCCAATCGCACAATTTCTCGGGAAGCCCGTAGGAAGGGAGCTTCGAAAGAAGCGCTTTGTGCCAAACCCGATCGAAGGCCTTCGCAATGTCCAAACTAACGGCCAATGCCTCCGCCTTGAACTCTACTGCCTCCGCCCATCTGTGAGTTAGGTAGACCAGAAGATCACCAGCTGACCGACCACGGCGAAAACCGTATTGGCGGTCACTAATCAGCTGGTGATCTTCAAGGTACCTCATGAGCTGGCAGTTTACAATGGACTCCATTGTTTTGGAGAACAAGGAGGTGATGGCGATTGGCCGGTAGTTGGACGAGTCAGAGCGATCGCCTTTTTTAGGGATCGGGTGGACGTAAGCCGTCTTCTATGATTTTGGGACTACGCCTAGGGAGTAGGAGTACCGGAAAAGACGCGTTAAAACCGGTGCCAACTCTGGAGCACACGTCCTCAGCACAATTGGGGGGATTCCGTCAGGCCCACTCGACTTGTGGATGTCCAGGGAGAGGAGTGCTTTGCGAACCAAGCGCTGTGTGAAGTGCACTTCCGGCATGGAGCACTCACACCGCGGGATGGTCGGCGGAGTACTTCCCCCGTCATCGAGAGTCGAGTTAGACGCAAAGAAAGAGCCTAGAAGATCGGCTTTCTCCTTTGCGGTATGGGCCAGTGAGTCGTCCTCCCTGTGCAGAGATGGAAGAGATGGCTGACAGAAATTCCCCTGGACAGCCTTGGTGAGAGACCAGAATGCACGGGTTCCAGAAGGAAGGCGAACTAGTTTCTCGCCAATTCTGCCTATGTGCTCTGACTTTGCCTTGGCAATGACTCTTTTGAAGGACCTAGAGGCGGAATTATACTTCTTTTTTAGAGCGCTGGTGTTTACATCCCGGGACGCTGATGCATCAGCCCAGGCTTGGTAACACTCCTGCTTATAGCATGATGCTATTTTACAGGAGCGACCTAACCATGGCCGAGACTTGCCTCCAATGGGCACCACAGAGGAAGGAATAAAAAGTTCCATACCCTGAAGTACCACATCAGCGACAGAATCCGCAACAACGTTGGGATCATCCGGCGAGAAGCAAACCCGCCCTCAAGGGTAGGATGCAAAGAAAGACCGCATCCCATCCCAATCGGCTGACCTATAGTGCCAAACACGGCGGCAGCCTGCAGAATGCAACCGCGATTTCGATACATAAATTCAGCAACTTCCGTAGATGATATGATTGAGATCTTTAACACATACATAAATATACTGTTTGATTTACATGCAGATATGACACAGTGTAAAATAAAATATAGGGCAACCCCATGGCTTACTAGCAATGTGCGCTTTATGATGAAGCTTAGAAATAAAGCTCATAAAGTGTATCTTGCTGATAAATCCGTGTCCAACAGAGAGCACTACAAGTCCTTAAAAACTTTGGTAACATCTGCCTTATTCCATGAAAAAAAAGCTTTCTTCGAACACCATATAAATTGCAAAATAGCATTCCCTAAGCAATTATGGAGGAACCTTAAATACACACTAGTTCCAAGTTTCAAGGACACAGGTGACCTCCCTGCTTTCTTTGACAATCCCTGTACCATCAATTCTTTTTTTCTTGGATATCCCTGAGAACAATAAAGAATCAATGTCAGAACTCACATATTATGAGTTTCACAGATATAGTGACACTACTTTCATGCTATCACCAGTGAATAGCGACCTAGTAGCTAGGACAATTTTGGCAATAAAATCTAATGCGCAGGGTATTGATGGTGTGAGTAGAGACATGGTAACCCTATCTCTTCCTCACACCCTCGATACCATCACTAATATCATTAATAAATCAATCACCAGCTCTACCTTTCCCAGTCAATGGAAAACAGCATTAGTGCGGCCTATCCCAAAGAAAGCCAACCCAAGCAGTGTCAAGAAGTTAAGACCCATTAGCCTCTTGCCTTATCTATCTAAAGTTCTGGAAAAAGTTGTATATAATCAGGTCTATACATATTTGGAAAGACATAATATTCTGCCACAATATCAGTCAGGTTTCCGCAAAGGCCGTAGTACTTGTACAGCACTTGTTGATGTTGTGGACAATATACTAGCTTCTAGAGATCAAGGTAAGGGGACGGTTCTTGTTCTCCTTGACTACTCCAGGGCATTTGACAGTATTAGCATTAACATGCTCCTTTCTAAAATGTCTTATTATGGCTTCGAAAATAGTACAATTAAGTGGTTTCACAGTTACCTCTGTGGCCGACATCAGATTGTTGAGCTGCACAAAACGGATGGTACAGGTACTATTCAGTCACACCCTCTACCTGTTACTAGGGGTGTTCCACAGGGCTCCATATTAGGGCCCCTCCTGTTTATTTTATACTGCAGTGATTTGATTCATGTGATTAAAAACTGTAAATATCACATGTATGCTGACGACCTTCAGCTATATCTGTCATTCCATCCTTCAGAGGTTTCCGATAGTATAAATAGGATTAATCAGGACTTGGAGCGCATTGCACAGTGGTCTAAAGTGAACTCGCTTATTCTCAATCCAGCTAAAACAAAATTTATGATATTAGGATCTGGATACCAAATTAAGAAAATAACTGACAGTCAACCCAGAATATTATTGGAAGGAGAAATCATTCAGCAGGTAGAAGAGGCTCGCAATCTTGGCCTTAAAATAGACGGCATGTTGCAATTTGAGAGTTATGTTTTAGATGTGGTGCGTTCTTGTTTTTATAGGTTAAAGGTACTTTACAAGATACGTGATTACCTAAGTTTGAATTTAAGAGTAACCCTTTGTGAGACTCTCATCTTGTCTAAACTAAATTACTGCATTTCGGCCTACGGACCCTGTCTCTTCGCGAAAACAATGAAGCTCCTTCAGCGAGTACAAAATGCATGTGCTCGTTTTTGCTTTAATATCCCTCCGAGAGCACATGTTTCTCCTTATTTGGAAAATAGCAAACTGCTTAACATGTCATCAAGGCTCAAATTGCACTTTGCTACTTTACTATTTGGAGTAATTAAAAACAAAACTCCCGAATATTTATATGAAAAGCTTACCTGGTCCAGTGAACATAACTTTCACTGTACTCGTGGCGCTAAGTTTTTACTTACTGTTCCAGGACACGTCACGGCTGCTTTTCGCGGCAGTTTTCGCTACCTAGCAACAAAGTGTTGGAATAATCTCCCACCCCCCCTTTCGTGAAATTCAATCCAAGGTTAATTTCAAAATGCGATATAAATTGTACCTTCTAGATAACAAAGAAAATACAAAGTAACAATACAAAGACTGGTTGTTGATACACTAGGTAGGTGGTTTGCGTTATTATTATTTTACTTTAATTTTTGATGGTTCCCTATGTTCTAAAGAATAAAGTACGTGATGAAATTCAATTTCTATTATATTATAATTGAAATTGAAATAGATGACCGTAGTGACTTATTCTCTTTGTAGATGACATGTACAAGCAGTTGTTGTTGTTGTTTTTGTTATTCGCTCGTGAGAGCAGGCAAAGGAACTATGCCATACAGCCTTGTCTTTGTGTATAATTATCCTTCGTAATTCACTGCTTCAAAACATGTTGATGCGTCACATGGTGCAGCCCTTGGGAGATTCTGATGGCAACTTGAGCCAGCAGGCAGCAGACAATTGGCGATGGTATCCAAAGATGCCTATGCAAACAGCTTATCTTGAGAATCCATCTCCATCAGAGCACTTGTTTCACAGCTTCCACTAATAGTTCACATGCGCAGACACTTAATACACAAAATCGCATATTGGTCAATGATGTACACCATTGTCCAGGAATTAGCTCTATAACATAGTATAAATATTTTTAATTTATTATTATTATTCCTTTCATTATTCTATTATATACTATTGCCAACATAGTTAAAAGTAATATATTTATCTATTTATTTTTCATTATTTATCGTTTTTCAGAATATTATCTTTATATTATATTACATAAACATATACATTTAAAATATCTTTATTTTTTTTTTTTTTTTTTTTGCATTAAATCTGTCTGACAGCTGCTCGTATGTTTTAGATTAGTGGTCCCGACAGAATAACAGCGCTGCGGCTCTTTGCTGTAGCATAATGCTGAGTCGGGTCCTTTTCGTTGCTGCAATCCAACATAAATTTAAATACTTTTTATAAATACTTTTTACTATTAATTGTTTATTTTTTCGTGTTGAGTTAATTGTTTGTTTTTTTATGTGTTTGTATTAGCGTAGCAACGAATAAAGTTATTTTCTTTCTTTCTTTCTTTCTTTTCTTTCGATTTCAGCGTGAGTGGCACCACACTCCGGACCAGACAATGGTCCGAGGAGCCTAAAGGGGCGTCAACGGAAATCTGATATCCGTCCGGGTGAGAGGTCAGCAGAAGGTCCAACAGGGAAGGTGCATGATCTTCCACATCTGGAATCCGCGTAGGCGAAGTAACAAGTTGTGTCAGACCATATGCCAAGGCAAAATCATGAACAGATCTCCCCGCATGATCGGTTAAACGTGAACCAAGCCATTTGGCGTGATGGGCGTTAAAGTCGCCGAGGATCACTACCTCTGCGGAGGGGATCCGCTGTAGCAACGAATCTGCAGCCATTTGGACGTGGTCGAATAGTCGGTCTGTTTCGGCATTACCGCTATGGGACCTATAGAGGCACCCGTAGACGCGCGGATGGTCGTCGCTGTCTACGCGTAGCCAAAGGATGGACAGGTCCGAACCTTCAAGTCTGCCGAGGCGTCGAGAGCAGATGTCCTCTCTGACGTAAAAGCAAACTCCAGCCCGAGGCACAAAGGAGTGTTCCAGTTTGTACCCCGGGTAGGAGAGATACGAGACATCAGCCGGAGAGGACACCTGCGTCTCGGTCAGAAAGAGCAGAGCCGGCCTCGCCGTCTCGAGATGGTAGTGGACGGCGTTTAGGTTAGAGTGAAGTCCCCTGATATTGCAGAAATTCACGGACAGCGTGGCAGGGGTCGCCTTGGTCTTGTTGCTCCGTTTGCCCCGAGCAGTTGTAGTCTTGAGCGGAATTTTGCCCCCCCCCCCCAAAATACGCGGGGCAGCCTGAGCACCCACGCTCAGAAGTGGAGAAACATGGTCGTGGATGCTCAGCGAGGGATTCTCCAGGGGTGCTGGTACCCTCCTGGGGTAGTCGATCATTATTTAATTCCGCTACCATGTTGATGGGGGGGGGGGGATTTGGGCCTCCGGCCACCTGCACTCACCAGACGAAACGCGGAAGCAGAGCTTCCACTTCACGCCGGTATTCTGTGAGGTCGTGGTACCACCCCGGTTTGAGCCGGCCCATACGTGCAACAGCAAAGCTGCCGCGTGGCTCTACCACTGTTACAACTACGTACTGCGCGTTTCCACAATCGCCTCTTCCAATGTACTCCTCATATGCTCTAATTCCAGTTCCTGGGCGACTGTTCCATCATCGTTTGAATCAACCACAACTGGGGTATTCACGGCGGCATCCACGTTTGCGGGTTGCTCTACCATTTGTGGCGCCGCATCCTCAGCCGTAGCATTCTCATCCGACGAGGGAACAGCCTCACGTCGCAGCCGTTCGAGTTCGGCGACATCAAATATATTTGAGCGCAAGATATACCGAACTCGGTCTGCCAGGTTTTGCTCTGTGACGGTTAAAGATGGCTCCAGCTCAGCAAAAAGACGATGCATCCTAGCCCGATATGCCAAACATCCAGTTTCTTCCCCTTTTGCCCTAAAGTACGCCCGCAGTGCGTTTGCATTCATTGCTTGTGACCAACGCATGCGACGTGCTACACCAGCGGCGGGTGCCGCTTGCTGAGTCCGAGAAGACCCAGCCGACACCAAGCCTTCTGGTGGGGATGATGGATGCGGAGGGCTGCTAGGTGACCGTGCAGCTCCTCGCGCTCGGCTGGCGGCCCGCATGCTGCCGCGTCCAGCGCCAGCTCCAGACGCGCCCCGGCGACCCCCCAGGCAGCGGCCCTATACGACTTTCCATTCTTATCCATCATCCATTATTTGGGCGTCCATTAACGGGAGACGCCCAGGCCCGGCACCGTTTCGTGTGTAGCCATAAGCACAAACGGGCCTCTGCACCCTAAATTCTGCCGAGGCACGGCGCTCACACCTCTCGCAAGGCGCTGACCGACTGCGTTGACGTAGCAGTTTTGTCACTTAACTGTTACGTCAGCGGGCGATGGGGTCGTCAATTCCCTACGCCGATTTATTATTATTATGTGTGGGGTATCTATATAGTTTTCTCATCTGGTTGGGATGTATAAATATATAATTATAAACGAAAATGAAAAGACAAATATACAAAAATATCAATAAAATAAAATAAATACGAAAATACATAAATAAATAAAAGCCCAACCAGATGGAAGCCCTCGGCAGGGGAGACCAAACGGCCGAGGGTTAGGGGGAAAGGGAAAGAAACCGGCGGACGATGCGGGCGGTATCGAGGAGCACCGCCTTCTGCATTTGAGCCTGGAGCGGTCCGCCACGTAGTCCCAGCCGCCTCAGATGACCCGAGAGGCTGACTGGGATTAGCCCGTTTGCAGAGACGACTACAGGAATAATTTCGGTCGGCAGACCACCCCACATGTCGGTCACCTCGTGAGCCAGGTTCAGATATTTTGTTTGCTTATCTGTTTCGGCTTTCACGAGGTTCTCGTTACACGGAATGGTAATGTCGACCAAAAATATCCTTGACTGTGCCCGGTCCATCAGCACAATATCAGGCTTATTCGCAAGAATAGTCCTGTCTGTGATGATGGCCCGGTCCCAATAGAGCCTGGCGCGATCATTTTCGAGCACGGCTTCCGGCAAGTACTTGTAATACGGCAACTTCCGATCCACGAAACCGTATTTCAGAGCGAGCTCCTGGTGTAGAATTCTGGCTACTAGGTTGTGCCTGTGCAAGTACTCAGAGTTAGAAAGCGCCGAACAACCGGAGATGACATGCCTAAGTGACTCACCGGGATGGCGACAAGCTCGACAGACGTCGACGGTGCCATCCTTTAGGATGTATCTCCGATAGTTGTTGGTCTTAATAACCTGATCCTGTATTGCACAGACAAAACCCTCGGTTTCCCCCGAAGAGGTCACCAAAGCGTAGCCAGTGGAGAGAGGTTACTGTGTCTACGAAAGGCCCATGTAGAGACTTGTAGAACCTCCCGTGGAGCTCCTTCTCCTTCCATACGGTCTCCCGGTCGGAAATTGTCTGCACTGCCGGGTCTTGCCATTGCTCGTTGGCTAAGGATAGAGGAGTAAGTCCTTTATCACAAGAAATGATGTCCTTATAGAATGGATCGTCCGATCTCGCCAGGAAGTAATTACGGAGGCTGCACACTTCGCGATTATGCATGGTGAGCGCGCTCAAGAAGCCACGCCCACCATGCTTTCGCGGCAAGTACAGCCTCATTACCGACGATCTCGGATGATGCATCCTGTGGGACGTCATGGTAGTGCGGACTTTTCTATCCAGGGCGTTAAGTTCAGTCTGAGTCCACCTGAGTATGCCAAAGGTATACATGAGGACAGGCATGACCCAGCCGTTATATGCTTGTGTCTTATTCACACCGGACAAAAGGCTGTTAAGCACTTTGGTCAAGCGTGCATAAAACACGTCGCAAACTGACTGTTTCACACCAGCCTCATCGATACCAATGTTCTGTGACATACCCAGGTATCGGTATGTTTCAGCCTCGGAAAGGGTCCTTAAGTTGACGGGCATAGATAAGTCTATGCCCTCAGAGTTAGCAATCCTACCCCTCTCAACATGGAGGACCGCACACTTATCCGTCCCCAGCTCCATTCCAATGAATTGCTAAATTCACAAGTGATGTTTAGCAGTTCCATAAGATGGGAGCGACTGGAGGCGAATAACTTGAGGTCATCCATATAGAAAAGGTGGGTCACTTTTGTCCCTCCTTTCCGTAGCTGAAATCCCCTCCCGGAGCCCTCCAGTAAGGTACTGAGAGGGTTCAGAGAGAGGCAGAACCATTTTGGACTCAGACAATCGCCCTGGAAGATACCCCTTCTTATCCTTATGTGGTTCACCGCAGCCATCATCCGCTCGCCCAGATGACAAAGGATCGTACTCAACTGCCCCATACACTGCTCGAGGAAGTCTCTCACTGTACAGTCTATCTTGTACAGCTCGAGGACTCTCTTTAGCCATGTATGGGGCACCGAGTCGAATGCCTTTCTGTAGTCTATCCAGGCGGCGGAGAAGTTCCGACGGTTGCGTTTCACCACTTTGCCAATGACCGCGTCAATGAGGAGTGGTTCCTTAGTTCCACGACCACCGCCCCGACATCCATTTTGAGCGCGTGACATCACCTGATTTAGCTCCAGGTGACGAGTGATTCTCGCGCTCAAAATGGATGTCAGTGTCTTATATATGGTGGGTAGACACGTAATGGGGCGGTATTTGCTCGGGTCTGTGGTAACCTGGTCTTTAGGAACCAAATGAGTGATCCCAGTAGTGAAGAGGCTAGGGAGCGACTTCTGGTTGAGAGCCTCTTGAAACTGACGGGCGAGCACAGCGTGACACACCATGAACCCCTTCAGCCAATAGTGATGCAGTCCGTCGAGTCCCGGACTTTTCCAGTTCGGGGCTCTACGGACCGCCTCAGCTACGTCATCCGGCGTTATGATGACGGGGTCCATGGGCGTAATACTCGCACACTGACTCGCCACAACTTCCGTCCAAAGGGCCCTCGCTGTGGTTTACGGGCTCTGACCACAGGCCACGCCAAAATGCGACAGTGTTAGCCTGATCCGGTCCTGGGCCCGCTCCACATACCTCTGGTCGCTCCAATGATTTGTAGAGCCTCTTCTGATCACTCTGGAAGAGACGATTCTGGTTGAACCGCCTTGACCTCTCGGTAAATCGGCGAATCCGCTTCCCCCAAGCGGCAATCTTTTGCTTCAGGTCGTCTATGCGCTCCGTTAGTTTCTGCGTGATATCTGGCTGGGACAAACTGATATTTGTCCCAGCAAACGCCATTCTAACGGTGCGCACAACCCTCGGTCTATTATTACCCGACCTGAAGCTTATCAGTCTGCCGATAAGGGCCCTTGCCTTTGCGATACGGTCCTCAATTCTTTTTCTCCAGGCTGGGATGGCGCTACTTTGTTTAGTAGCGCGTCCAGCCATGGGAAGTTTGGCGCCAATAATACGGCAAGCTGCCACTGCGGCGCCAAAAAGAACTGAGTCCGTCTCGCAAAGGTCCCGGCTGGCTTCCAAATAGGTTACCAGCATTGGGTTAAGAGCCCTCACGACAGCCCGATTTCGCTTGCTTAGGGGTATGCGGGGGAAGTCGCGGTCGATTTTCGAGAGGCATGCTGCGCGTTTCTAAAATCGCCTCTTCCAATATACTCCTCATTTGCTCTAGTTCGTGGGAGACCATTTCATCATCGTCTGAATCACCCACAACTGGAAGATCCATGGCGGCTTCTACGCGTGGCAGCTGGTCTGTCGCCTGAGGAGCCTCATCCCCAGCCGTAGCCAATTCATTCGATGAGGGAATGGCCTCACGTCGTAGTCGTTCGAGCTCGGCATCATCGAATATTTTCGAGCGCATGATGTACCGAACTCGGTCTGCCAGGTTTTGTTCCGTGACGGGAATAGACGGCTCCAGCTCAGCAAAAAAGCAATGCATCCGAGCCCGATACGCTATCCCCGCAGTTTCTTCCCCTTTCGCCCTATAGTACGCCCGCATTGCGTTTGCGTTCATATCCCTTGTCCAACGCATGCGGCGCACTCCACCAGCGGCGGATGCCGCTTGCCGAGTCCGAGAGGACCCTGCCGACATCAAGCCGTCTGGTGGGGATGATGGATGCGGGGGGCTGTTAGGTGATCTTGCAGCTCCTCGCGCTCGGCTGGCGGCCCGCATGCTGCCGCGTCCAGCGCCAGCTCCAGACGCGCCCCGGCGACCCCCAGGCAGCGGCCCTATACGTTTTCCAATCTTATCCATCATCCATTTTTGGGCGCCAATTAGCGGGAGACGCCCAGGCCCGGCACCGTTTTATTGTATCATTGTACGGCCGTAAGCACAAACGGGCCTTTGCACCCTGAGTACTGCCGAGGCACGGCGCTCACACCTCTTGGCAAGGCGCTGACTGACTGCACCGACGTAGCAGTTTTGTCACTTAACTGTTTCGTCAGCGGGCGATGGGGTCGTCACTTCCCTACGCCTTATTATTATTATTATTATTATTATAAACCCTTAGAATTACTTTGAACTTAGCCTCCCTTTTATACGGTGTAGCCGAAACGGCGAAGGTTAGTAATAAGCATTGTAAAATAAGATTTGATTATATACCTGTCTAGATAGAGTGTTGCGCTAAAATCGCAACAAAAATAATGGGCCCGATTTGGAGCGCTTGTGTGCTTATTACACACACAAGTATGCGTAACTACTATCAATTAACAAGCGCGCTGCGTCACCCAGGGGCGACCGAAGTGATACCAACTCTTATATATTTCCCATTAGATTAACTTCTCATTTGACACTTTAATGTTAAAGTTAAGTAACAAAACTTATTGATGAAAAGTGATCTTAGTGTTATTATACGTTTTTCTCTCATAATTGCGACATAATTTTACAGCACTAACCGGCATAATTAATTATTTTTCGTGAGCACGTTATCCCTAAGTGATTCAAACTACACTGACCGTATTTCAGTATATTAGAAAGTAAAGTTGCCGACACGAGTCATGAGCACAGATAAACTGTGGTGGGAGGTAGATACACTGTCGGGCAAAATTATTGGGTACCTTTATTATTTCAATTCGTAATTGAATATTTTCGCCGACATTTATGAAAATGTTTACTCGAACACATCAATTTTTACTTTGATACAGTAATGTTGCAGATATTCGTGTCCGTTATTTTATTATCTACTATAAAGTATTTAATGTGTACCTGGTGGTTAGAATTGATTATTTTATTAAAAAGAAGGAAGAGGTGATATGCCTTCAATAAAATCTGGTGTTGCGGTGTGCCGTACAGTAGCTACTGAGACATTAGTCGCCTCAGCAGTCTGTTTATATACGTCTATGAAATTTTTCGTAGTACCAAATTTTTTCATATAACTAAACACTGAATAGACCATTTGTCAGGATTGTCTATTTAACACCGAATTATGCATATTTAGACCGAAATCTGAACACTCAAATTATAACAATAAAAATAATTAAAAACAATTAATAACTAGGAATACACAAACAACAATTAACGACGAGGTAACAAAAACAATTAACGAAAATAAACTAATTAAAAAAGTTATCACTAAAATTATTGCTCTGAAGTGTACGGAAGCCGAATGATACGTTCGAAACCAATAGACGACGAGAATCGACTGATGAACTAATCACGTTGAACGTTAGCGTGGTCAACGTCGTATCGACCAATAAAAAGTGTGCTCACAACTTATGTCGGCAATTATACTCTGTAATACCGACGTAGGTGAGAAGCGAGTATACCAATTTTAGTAGACTTTATTTGGACCGTTCTGTACAGACAATGTGGCATGTAGACAGGTATATAATCAAAGAAAATAAGGATAGTGATCTAGGGTTAAAGTATATAATACAGTAATCTATGGTCACTCGCTAGGCGCTTGTAGAGTTGTCACGTGTTGTGTTGATTAAAAAAAAATCTCTTGATAAAAATATTCCGTCGTGTGTACTTAGATATTGTACAAATAATTCAAGAAATGTCAGTAAAAACCAAGGAATTACTTTTCATCGATTAATAAGATACTTAATCGATAAAAAATAGAATTAGATTAATAATAAAACAAATTATTCCTAAGACGCCATCTCGTGTCATGGAATATAGATTATGAAATTAATATGTTCAGATGCGACATTTCTGTGGGTACTTAAGTATACGTCGAATATATTATACACATTTTCTTTGTAGAAAATTTCTTTGTAGAATTTTTTGTAAAAGTTATTTATTATAAATAATTAGGCTAAATTTTTCATATTTAAATCTGCTTATTATTCTTTTATTTTATTTTAAGGTTTCCACATCAAAGTGCAATAAATTCGTCCATTTTTAGCGTTTATTAAAAATAATTAAAAATTATTGTCATATTATACCAGTAAAATTGTGGATTTTCGTGAAAACTCTATGTAATGTTAATAAGATGAGTATGATACATAATGATTTCTTATATTTACGCGAACACTATACATTGATTAAAACTACTTTTACGGATTTTATCGCGTTTTATTTATATTATTTGAAGCATCAACGTTCCGGGAAATCTGCAGTTTGCGATCATATCCTAGATGGCCCCAACCATTACATCAGATTTGATAGACCACAAATCCTCGCGAAAGAACATCGATTCCTACCAAGGATGATACGTGAGGCTATTGAAATTAAAAAACATCCTAATTTCAATAGAGAAGGAGGCTGGGTACTACCACCTGCTTGGGATCCTATAATTAATAAAATTAAAACTAAACCCAAATATACCACTGCAAGACTTCAAAACACAGTTAGTTCATTCTGCGTATATAGGACCAAAGACAATAATTAAAAAGCTGAAGGTACTCCGGGTTAACTTTGACATCGGGACGTCAGTCACCTCAGTCCCCCGTGACGATGGGTGCTGAAAAGCACCCAAAACGTCGGGTATTAAAAATTAAAATAAAATAAATAAAACGCGATAAAATCCGTAAAAGTAGTTTTAATCAGAGTACGATACACGTTTGTTTTGTAAAGTTTATTACATTGTTTTCAAAAATAAAAGAATATATCCATTAAAATTTTATTTCTCATATCCATTTAATATTTACAGTTTTATAGATATGAGTATTTTCATTATAATGCAACCCACACTGACGGTGATAGATTTCAACAACGCCAGTGAATATGCCATTAATTTTTTTTAACCGTTTAAAGTACATCTCGCGCCGGCGAGACAAATTGCCTCACATTTTCATATTACTATGTACCCAATGCACTCGCTCACAAAGCGCTTGCAGTCAATTTGACCTTCAGCAAAGGCGGCTGTAAGAGCATGTCGTGCTACACGTACAGCGAAACGGACCCGATCGATTTTAAAACGCCCACCCAATACGCTTAGCCCGCTTACTACAATTATGACAGGGCGGCGGCGACGCGCGAGGGTGCCGAAAACGAAGTTCAGGCACCAAACTGCGTTACACGTCTGGAAAAAATGCCTCTTAATTGACACCATGACTAAAATGTACTTGAACACACCGTATTTGCGCATGAACGAACATGTCAGGCCCGGCTTTAATGTCGCATATGATCCTGATGAACTTTTTTCCGCAAGTACAAGCTTGAAGAGCAAGTCAACGAAGATAAAGAGATGGAAATTATTGAATACATTCCTCAACACAAAGTTGATGACGAACGATCGATTGGAAGGACTTTCTCAATGATAGATAAAAATGGTTTGTCATTGGAAGACTTGGTGATCGGGCTTAAGGCTAAAAAAAGAGAGTTGTAACTGATAGGCAAGTTCTTCACTCTTTTGTCTTGGAGAATGCGAGAGTACTTTGTAGTCAAAGAATACCTAATCAAGTGTCACCTTGTTCCGCTCTTCAAAGGCTTGACCAAGACGGATGACCTGACCACCTTGACACCTTGAAGACAAAGGAGATCACCCCGGGGCAGGGGCTGTCTGATTATAGTAAAGTTTGCATTGCCAATCCCTTAGATTATGAAAAATGGACTAACCACCAGAGGAAGGAGTAAAATGGACCTATATTTCGGGTTATGGGACAATTTTAAGGATATCCCAACCTCATAGAGCGGACACACGAGTTTTTTGTAAACAGCCTCATCTAATATAATGATAGACCTGATCTTATGGAAGTGGTAGGAGACAGTCTACAAAATAGGACAGATAAGCTCGTTTGTTAGAATGGTCAACGTGGAGGGTTAGAGGAGTTGCGTCAAAAGTGATGGTCAATCGTAAACTTACTCGTCATCAGGAGGGAAGGACTTACTCAAAACACAGATATTAAGACGCTATCTCAGGGTGACAACCAGGTTATTTGCACAAACTATAAGCAGCAGACCCATAGAATCTGCGTCATCCCCAGTTATATTTTGTTCATTGACCATCGTGTTTTCTGCTCAAGAAATATGGTCCACCTGATGAAGTACATCTGCTCGTCAAGATTTCATTCACTACATGGATTTTAACGATTCTATCTGTTTCTCTGTTACCTTTCACGTCTAAACAGCTTAATCAATTAATAGGATAAAGGATACTTTTTATTTCGAAAATCATCCCCATAGAAATAGAAACAGAAAGTTTTTTATTCAATATAGATTATAAAAAATACTTATTGAAAGTCACTTTTTTCATTTAACACTGGTTCGCAAAAAAAAACCTCTGTCCTAGGAAGAACCAGCAAGAAACCCAGCGGGACTATTATTTTTTTTTTCAAATAATAGCTTACAATCATGTATGTTACAATTAACAACACAAAACAAATTAGAAATAGCTTGGTAGCGATCACCCTTCCCAGGGGTTATTATCATCTATAAATTCCTTAATATTATAATAACCCTTTTTATACATACTTAGTTTAATAATGTTTTTGAACTTTGTGTATGACAAATTTGTAAAAGCGTATACATAGCTCCAAGAATGAATTACTGACTCGGTGGAGTCGAGTAACTGGTACTACTAGCTTGTGTCTATTCCTAGTATTTACAGTATG